GGCTTTGGGGGCAAGTAAAAATCCATATTGCCCCGGTCTGCGAGCATACAGTTGAAATGACATGTGAATTGTATTTACAGTGGATGTGATTATGTTGTTTCTGCTGTAATGTACATCGATGTATGTGTGGAAACGTTCCACACCTTTGTGTTGTTAGTCATTTTTATGCATGCCAAAGAGATACATTTATTAAATTCAGTATGCACATTTGCATTTTTGTCTAACAAAGTAAGCAAAATATTCTGCCAAGTTAACTGTAAAAATAAATAAAAGGTGTTTACATTTAGGAGGCTTTTTTCTGTGGTGATGTAATCTCTACTATTTTATTAAGGCTATGTCAAATGTCAGTATGTTAGTAATGCACTGCGCACTGTCACTGCATGTCTTGGGGACAAACCTCCTTACAACATCTATTATTCATATAGGTCTCGAAGACTGCTGGTTGGAAAAGCTTTACCTGCAGAACCACTGTGCAAGCCATTAGATCAGAATAACTGTGCTGTGTCTCTTTGTGACCTTTGACTCGTTTGTTTTATACCATAAACATATAAGTAACATAAGTAACTCATATTGCTAAAAGCATATTCATTAGGTTATATTTGTATGCATTCATTTGGCAGTATTGATGCAAAAAACCTTAAAACACCCACATGTACAGATGAATAATTAGTAGGCCTAGTAGCCTATGTAGGAAAAAAAAGAGGAGATTGTTGCAGGCACAGCAACACCCACGATACAACTGCACTAGGCTTCCCCTGGGCCACTTGTTTTAAGCAACAAGTGTTGCAAGCAGCAGCAAAACGCTGCCAGGAACTAATATTTGCACATTATGCTAAAGTAGGCCAATGTTACTTTGTAGAAAATGTCCTGACTTTGAAGTTTCTGTAATGCAAATGTGTTGCAACATTTTAATCAAATGTATATATCCACTAAAGGAACTAATTTAACTGTAGCCTACAAGATTGTACATATTTGTACAAATGTTTACCAAGATAAAACCAAAAGCTCACGGAAACACCTGTCATGTGTGGCGGTGTGGTGCTCGTATAAAATGCTCGGTTTGCTGACAACGCCACCTGGGGGAGTTTCGCCCCCAGGAAATTACTAAAACTAAAGTTATTCAATTTAATAAAAGGCAATCAGGTTCGTTTGAACACCACAGGCAGAGACAGTGTAAAGGATATTACCATAAAGGTTATTTTATTTATACATAATTACATTTCAAATAATAAACAATATAATGTTCTAAAAGTTCTCCAGGGAGGAGGGAGAAGGACAGTGCTGGGGCTTACCAAGGCGGCTATTAACAAAACGGGGAGGAAGGGGTCAAATCAAAATCACCCGTGACACTGCACACCAAACAAAACGGACACGTGAAGAACACCACCACCAGGGATTGGGTCTGCCGCCTCGAGCCCACAGCACCTGTCCGGCACAATAGAAACAGTTAATAATCAGCAAGATTATAAAACTCTGTTGGAGAAAGATAAACAAAAGGAAAACAACTCAAATAAACCAAATCTAAATAAACGTAAACGACAAATGAGTAAACTAATTAAACCAAACGTTAACAAAATAAAATTTATAAAATCACACGATTAACACGGGGGGGGGGGGGTTACGGCGCCCCAACTTTTACAGCCAGGCACTGCCACAGAGCCCACCAGGAAGGGAGAATGTTTACAGCCCCCTGGGAAGAGGTTTAAAATCAGTGGTGTAGCTGTGGGTGGGATGCACGTCTGGCCCACCCACAGCCAATCAGCGCTTCATAGCGCAGAGCCGGGAAGCCCAGAAGGAAGTGCCGCAAACTGCAGTTCATCTAGTGGCCGACAGGGGATGGATGCAAAAAGGAGCAATTCCCATAGACCCCCATGTTAAAATGCCCAACTTTACAGCAGAAATAAACATGTTTCTAGCCTGGATCCAATAAAACTTATTCTGGATATAGTTAGATTCCACCTTCATGACAATGGAATAGGGAGTGCATTTTTTTACCTTGAGTTTTTATAGTAAGTAAAGTAACTTTTGCCGTGAGTGAATGAAAGTATTATTTCTTCTTGAGGTCTGCAGTTTAGCGTGTACACATTTGCTGAATATGAAAACACTGAGTGTGTGCCCACTGTGCGACTGTCAAGGATAAACAACCTGTGGCCCCGATATATGTCGTATCACTCGTATGTATTATTGCTACACAAACATTATATTGCAGTTTAAATGTCGCCAACTCCGTTTCTAATATGCAAAAAGACTGCAAAATGCGTCTGATTATTTTTTGTATTTTAGATCTTTCCAATCCAGTCGAGAGATCTCTCTCCCCCGTCTGTGTGCGAGTGGGCAGTTTACACACACACGCAGCTGCTACAGGCAGCAACACACACACACACACACGGAGGAGATGGCGGAGAGAACGCGCTCCGAGGTGTGGTTAAACTATAGCCGTCTCGATGTGGACAATACTCGTTACCAAAAGTGGAATAAGAGTTTAGCATGTAAGGGCGGTAACACGAGCAATTTGTCAAAACATCTTGCAAAAGTGCACCACATTCAGACGGAGAAATGCAACGGGTTCGACTGTCTTTCTAGTAGCTCTGTAGCCCCATCCACGAGGAACGTTTCCACGTCAGGTGTTATGTATGCTAGCAGCAACACACAGAGTTAACTACATGATACAAACATGGGTAAATGATTAGAGGTAACTGAGTTATTTATTTTGTTAAAGTTTCAGCTATTCTGTCAGATTATTTAATACGATTTGTTAAAACATTGTTGTTTCTTTTGATGTGAAATATTATGTATTTAATTTAAATAAAAAGCAATGTTAGTTTTGTTTACCTTTTTTTTTTTCTCCAAAAAGAACCGATACAAGTACTGTTAAAGGACCGGATCGATAAGCGCCATCGATAAAAGTAGTAGTACCGTTAAAACCTTAACGATACCCATCCCTATGTGGATGTCAGTTTTACACACATTCTGAGGCCACCGTGCCTATGTTTTTTGTTTTCACTGCTAATGTATGCTTATGTTCCATTAGTGCATTAAAAAAATCATTAAAATCATTAATGAAGTTTCAGCTCAGACCCCACGCTTAATATGTCTCCCCCTGGCCCACCTACATTTCTCCAGGCCCACCCTCACAATAATTCCTGGCTACGCCACTGTCTAAAATGACTGTGAATACTTACGTTTATTAAATGAAAAGTTATCTATGGGGGAACTCATACATACCAGCCTGTGTGGCCAGTCGCAGCCACAGAGCCCACAAGGAAGGGAGAGAGAGACTCAACAATCCCACTGTGACATGAATGACAGTCAATACACCAGAGGAACCAAGCTGAAGGTGAGAAAACGGCAGACAACGGCAACTCACCAATAGTTGCAACACTGCAAGACCAGGGAGCCTCCGCCGGAGCAAATCCTCCTCAAAAGCACTGGACGTCAGCTGCGCTAAGACGGAGTAGTGTCAAGCCGGGTGTTGCTTGTCGCCATGAATAAATGACAGAATGCAAGATGCTTTACCTGTCTGGTAGAGAGTGTGATGCGCGAGCTGCCACAAGGGAGAAGCGGAGGGGATGGAGCAGATGTGTCACCTCCACTTAAATAGCAGGTGCGCTGCGCCAAGCAGCGTCACAGAGACACACATGCATCGAGGTATTGCTGTTGCCATAGCAACTTTCTTCATTCATTACTGTCTGGTCATATCTGGAGTGGACCGTGTGCGCGCTGCGTTGGACTCTTGTGATTGGACAAGGGCCGGACCATACCATACCGGAAGAAGGGGGGCGTGAATATTTCTTAAAGAACCCGTGTTCTTATTATACATCCATGGTATTATTGTGGTACTATATTTACAACAAATACCTATTTATGCTTTTCAGTCCCTCAAATAATATTGTAGGAAATAGATCCTTGAATATATTTGAGAAGAAGGTTAGTAGGTTGATTATTTAATTTCGGTGCAAAGGCAAGGACTTTGCTACAACGTAAGACGACTATGAATAATTGAATTACAAATGTAAAAGACACTGTAAATACCTCTTTATTTGCATATGGTGGTGCTTTCATTACGTTCAGTAAGTGTTTGGTCCTGGCATTAGTTCTTCATTTTTTTATTATTGTATTCAACATGTTTTATTAATCTAATTTAGATTGTTCGTTGTATATAGCGTTTAGTCTCTTATTATTTGCTTGAAGGGATTGTGCACGCAATTGATGACGATGCTGCCTGAGAGGCTAAACGCAGGGCTATTAAATCATCAAATCATGGCTTGACGTGAAAAAAAGACACAGGGGGTTTCAGTCTTTACGCTTCTGTCGATCAATGTTACTATATGTAAATATATTTGTATACCACCGTGCAAGTTACATCAAATGTATTTCTCTATTAAAGCCTTTAAGTCGTCATTTGTATAATTCACTAAGACGTAATTGGGCTGTGATATGATTATGTTTTAATGGTTCAGGAAATCTTAGCAGGAGGATGTGATTGGACAGAGTCCGTGTCACTCATCGGTCATGGGAAAGCTCAGGTTAGGTAGCACTGCTCCGCCTCCTGTACACTTGCAGCATAGATGCATAAAGAGAAGTGGATACAGCGTTGGAGGCGGGACTCCGTTCAATCCTATGATAGTTTCTCAGTGATATATGAAGCCCATATGACCTGCATCTCGAGAGCAAAAGTACCCGTATGTCGGCCCATAGAGCATGCGCAGTTTAGCTTTCCCTTAAGCCCCGTCTCCGATCTCCAGCTCTCTGCTCAGTCAAATTAATGGGCAGGAGAAATAACAATGTGTTTAGCTTTAAACGCATTTTGAAAATGTAAGACTCTAATGATTCAAATGAGGTCAATACAATTGTTCCTACCGGGTCATTTATTAAGCTAAGGAAAAATCATACACTGATTTAAAGACGTCTATTTCCCAATGTAAGTCAATGGAATAAAGTTATTTGGACGTCACTGACTGACACGGAAGTTGTAGTTCCGCCATTTGGCCACTACGAAAACCTGCTTTAAAAGTCCGGCGCACTTCCTGGGGGCTTGACTTGCAGTTGATGCTACAGAGCAAATGCTGGTCGGATGCACACATTGAATGAAAGTCAGTGTAGCAGGCTGTTGCCACCAGCAACTGAGAATATCTGCACACCGTAAAGTTACCTTACAGTGTCCAGGCTCCTGGTGAGACTGTAACAGAAGAGATAATTTCACACATTGGCACAGGAGAGGATCAAGGCATTTGTGGAAGGGGAAGGTGAGAGATATTTGATGAGCTGGGGTTTCACATAAGTATTTCTGGTTAGACAGGTAGGGTAGCTAGCTAGCCTAACCGACTCACGGTTATCGCTGCGAATAAATAATGTTCTTGTAGTTTAACCAATTAAAATCAGAGCTGGTAAAACACGATTTTGTTAACAATAAGATCAGATACTTGTTTGTATATCCAGCGTTGTTTTATAGGTTTCTTTGTGCGTGTGTGCTACAGCCGGTATTGGTACTGTTAACGTTAGCATGTTGGCTAACTCAGATATCATGTTGCATGTCATCAAGACAAGCTTGCTAGCTCTTTACGCTAGCTAACCTTATGTGGTTAATGTTAAATGTGGAAGGATTACTTCCTTGATGAGTCTATGCTGCAGGCAAGCGGATACCAACACTATTTTTCTCCGTGTCCAGGACCGGGCTGTGAGGGGCAATGCAGCGGGTCACGGCGCAGCTCGTCACCGGGCTGGTTGCAGCGGTGCTGTCGCTACTGGCGGAGCCGTGCGGGGCGGACGGCGGGGGCCTCAGCCTGGCCGACCGGGTGATCTGGGCTGTGAATTCCGGGGGTGAATCGCATGTAGACGTGCACGGTATTCACTTCAAGAAGGACCCCTTGGAAGGGAAACTTGGCAAAGGTGAGTTGGTGTTAACTGCTAATATAGGTATGCTTGTCTTGCTGTGCTTCACCTGTAAAGGTGTTTCTTAGAATGACATTGTGAAGGTAAAATATGTTCCTCCGAAACAGAAATGTCTAATAGAAACCTCTGCATGGTCTGGCTTCCGCAAGTAACCACAAACTAACGAGGAGTCAGCATAAAGGAGTACGCTCCGCCCCTCTCAGCATGGAGAGGAAGCAGGTGATGATATGATATTGACTGCAGAGAGTCATTCCTAGCTCTAGTTATTAAGCTGAAATCCTATAAATGCAAGTTTAAGGGAACACAGTGTGGTAACTTGCCATTTGAGACAGAAGGGCACTGTGTTTCATTGAGTGCATGAAAAGGTCAGGGCTTGCACAATGTGGTGCTATGCTTGACTCAAAACATGATCCGTTTTCCAGTTATACAGATATTAATGTGGCTTCGTGATCAAAGTGCACTATAACACTAATGCAATTCTTCTTTTTGTAGCGTCTGATTATGGGTTGCGCCTGCCAATACTGCGCTCCAGTCCAGAGGACCAGATTCTGTATCAGACAGAGCGCTACAATGAGGACACTTTTGGATATGAGGTCCCCATTCGTGACGAAGGAGACTATATACTAGTAATGAAGTATGCTGAAGTTTACTTTGCCCAGTCACAGCAAAAGGTATGGGAATAAATTAATCAGTGTGTTTTGTGTTTAATACATTTGTCATTTTCATCTGCACAGTTTGAATGGAAAAGGTATGCATTGAACAAGGCCTGTTATTATTTTCAGTTGCATACATTTCAATATAAGATGCAACGATAAATTAACAGATTAACAAATGCCAAAGATTTAGACGATCAATTAGTCCTTAAAGTATTTTTTCTGTAGATGGATAATAATGCAGTTTTATGTAAGTATTTATAAACATTTAAGACTCAATTGTGAAATATCAGGTGACTTTCAAGGCTGAGAGTTTTGTCACACCCCTGTACTCAAAGGATTAGGTGTAATTTGTCCAACCTTCACAGGAGTGAGGGAGATATCAATCATGTATTGAAAAGAAGCCACATTAGGCATAAGTGAAATTACATGGGTGGTCGGATCAAATGGGGCCATTGAATTGATAATAAAAACAATAAAACTTGAGATAGGAAAAGTTAAGGTGTTCCTATCCACATTAATAATGGCTCTATTGTATAGTAGTCTCTGTAAGGCATGGCAGCGAGCCTGCATGCAATACTAGCACCCTGAAACTGAAGTAGCTGAATGAGATTAATCCGTTATTTATTTATTATTCACACCTGTCAAAATGTTTGCCGAGATAAAGCCCTATTTGTTTTAACTAGGGCTGTCAAGTTAACGCGTTAATAACTTTTTTTTTTTTTTTAAATTAACGCCACTAATTATTTTAACGCGATTAACGCATGTGTATTTTTTGTCCTCGGCCGCCCCGTAGTTTCAGAGCGCATCGAGTTTAAAATACCATCTACAAGCTGATGCTGACAGCCCCGCTCCTGCCGCCCGCTTGTGGCAGACCACACTTCCACGCTCACCGGCAGGCACCGACTGACTGTTGGGAGGACCGGGAGGGTGTGTGTATGTGTGGCTCGAGCGAGAGAGAGACCTTACGTGCATTGTTGTTGTTAGCATCTGGTGCTAGCTAGCTGCGCTAACGGATATACGGAGCTGTTTAAATGAAAACAGAGGAGCGACATTTCGCCACAACTGCGCCGAGCACTTGATTTTATGCAGGAAGCCAGACAGTGGGACATTGTACGAAAAGTCAGCACACTCAGCACGGATAGTGCGCAACATGATTGCAGCGTCCAGGCAGCTCCCTTTCGAGCATATGCCTTGAGTTGCACATAGCTCCAACGATCCATCACACACACACACACACACACGAGCGCGCACACACACACACACCATTTGTATTGTATTATTGTATGAGAGAGGTTCCAGGTTGAATTGAGGCGAATATTTGTAATTTTCAGAGGTTGTTGTGTTTAATATTCATGAGAATATTTGTCATTGTTCAAATGATAATAAACATTAGCATAAAGCATATTTGTCCACTCATATGTTGATAAGAGTATTAAAAACTTGAAAAATATTCCTCTACGGTACATTTAGAACAGATACAACATTTGCGATTAATCGCGATTAACTATGGACAATCATGCGATTAATCGCGATTAAATATTTTAATCGACTGACAGCCCTAGTTTTAACATTACTTTGAAGGTGAAAAACCTGGAATACTAGTTGAGCTACAGTTTCAGTTGACTAACTTTACTCTGTTGATGGCCAAATGATTAAGCTGTGTGTTTCCTTCCTGACTTGGGAAAATGTTTTTCCTAGGTGTTTGACGTCCGTCTAAACGGCCATGTGGTGGTGAAGGACCTAGACATCTTCGAGCGTGTGGGCCACAGTACGGCTCACGATGAGATAGTACCCTTCTCTATTAGACGTGGTAAACTGAGCGTACAAGGAGAGGTCTCCACTTTCAACGGCAAGCTCACTGCAGAGTTCGTAAAGGTGAGCTGTTTTTATTTGGATTGGATGAGACATTTCTTGACTCCAGTGAAAGTCACAAGGGAGTGTCAGTTTGTTTATTTTACAACGACTCTTGTGAATAGCAGTATGGTAACCCCAGTTGTGAGTCGCTTTACAAGTTCAAACAGGCTTGGCAGGTTGAACAGAAACGGGTCATTTGGAAGTGTATTCAATTTCCACTAATCTATGATAAACTTAAATGGTTGATTTACTGGTTTTGTCAGCCTTTGTCCAACAAAGTAAGATAGTACTTTAAAATGCAGTATTTCAAATCAAAATGAAGACACTCGTTTGGTGTGGCATAAATATAATGTCATCTAGTCAATTTCTTTCAGTTGATGAACGGAACTAAATATATAAATCACATTATATTTGAAAAAATATGGCATTCTCAAGAGTTTTGATAACAAATATAATATTATAAATAAGAGTTTATTCAAGCCAACACCCAACATGTTTAAAGGGCGGTGGGGGCCAATGTGTTCAATTATTAATTTATATTCTCAACATGATCGGCAGCTTTGCTTGATGAAAGGTCAGAAAGAACAAATAATGTGATTTTATATTGAAATGACTTCAATCAAAGACAATCTAGTAATAAAAAGAACTCCAGTTATAATAAGAACATATCTAGGGACAAGATTTAAAGCAATAGTTGGACAATTTAGGGAATACAATTATTTCTAAAAGATAGATGACATGATTGAAACATCTTTCCTGTCTGTTAAATATGAAGCTACCTCCAGCAGCAGGTTAGCTCATCGTGACATAGGTAGTGTAAACAGCTAACTGAGCTCTTTCCATAGATAACAATATCCGTTACCAGCAACTCTCAAACACACAAATTACAAACATCGTATCTTGTTTGTTTAATCTGTATAAAAACCAGCGTGTGTGTGCAACAACAGCTTGTAGTTTTTCAGTATGTTGGTCAAACGAGATAGTGAAGTTAATAAGTTACAATTTGGAGAATTTCCCCCAACTGCTCTTTTTTAATGTGATGGCATTCATTTCAGATGTGTTAGATAAAAACATCCTCATAACCTGTATGGCTAAGGGACTGCAGCCCGACATGTAAAATCAACGGAACATTTACATAATGAGCTCCATGTCTGAAAGGGCTGCTGACAGCCGGTTTGAGTGTGTGTGGGCCATGCAAATGACTTAAAACAGCCTCACATCTGGCTGCCCTTTATCATATCTGTTAACCTGTCAGGTAGTGCAACTATAACTATTCTCTCTAGCACTCATCAATCTTTGTGCCACTATTTATACCAGTTTCATTATTCAGCTATTTACATAGACAAGATTGCCGTTTACTTTGATTTAGGAAAGGCTTTAGTACATCGAGTACTAAACACCTGACGTTTTCAGATACATTTCATATTCAAGCAGGTTAAAACAGAAGAGAAACATATGCACACATAGATATTAAGAAGCATGAGCTGTTGGTAAGTTGTGCAATTTTTGAGAAATAAAAAATAAGTCTTAAAGGTGGGGTAGGTAATGTTGGAGAAACCGGCTTGAGTGCGCTAGAATTTGAAAATACACAACCGGAACAAATCTGCCACTTCCTCACAGAGCCCCTCCTCCAACACACAAACGCGCACATGACCAATGAGGGCACGAGATAAGTCTGTGCACGAGATGGAAGGCTGACAGGCAGGTAGGCCATCCAGTTATTTTAGCCGGGCCGACTAAAATGATTGGTCGTGCTTTTTACAATACTACGGCTTCCACAGATGACATTTTGTTATGGATTTTTTGTCAAAGCACTTAAGATATTCATTGCTATCGGGATGTTAAGAGCATTCCATGGAATATAACAAAAAGTGTATCTCGAGCCGGTTTCTCAAACTTACCTACCCTACCTTTAATTATTATCCAATGATAACAATTAAATGAATAAGGAACTAGTTAGGACTAACTAGTTCCTTATTCATTTAATTGTTATCATGGCAGCATTTAAGTATATTTAGTTTTTATTGACAAATCCAGATAGAGCTGAATTGAGGATTTTGGTCTTATCTATAATTAAGTGAAATGCCCTCCTATCTATTGCTATCTTTGTAAAGAGGTTAGTAATTATGTTTTCGTGTCACATTTTACTCAATATATCCAGCAGCTCCTGCCCTGGGACTTCAGGAGTGATTGAGTTTATGATTTATTACGCTTCCCTTTTTGTCCTCCTAGCCATCAATTCATCTCCATGTCATACTGTACGCCTGGGCTGTTTGCATAACTTTGTATTGACCGGAAATCTATGTCAAGGGGAGGGAAGTATTTTTGAGTGGATGATCTTTATGTCCGCATAAGTTTGATTTGTCCTGCTGTAAAAATGGACAAAAACACCCAAGATTAGATTCAATATACTTTATCAATTGCCCACAGAAAGAAACATATTATCTATGTGTATTGCCACAGAAAGAATTTCATTTGGAATGATCTTGTCAGCCTTTATTTGACACATAGTTGCACCTGTCATTTGAATATAGGAGTACATTACCTTTGTCCTTTTCTTTTTTGTATTCTGTTTCTTGGCAACCTGCTGCAGGCCGCAGAAATGCGTATATTATTAGATTTCCCTTCAAGCTTTGGGTTCTGCAAATGAAAGTTTCCGTCTCTGGGTTAGTAGAACATCTAAATGTGCAGGGTGGCATACTTCAAAAAAAGCTTTTTCTGCAGTGACCTCATTTTCCCTATTTTATTTTATTTGTTGCCATTGCTCTCTGTGCATTTAGTCCAGGACACGCTGTCCGCTCTTCCTGCAAAAGGACATTATTCCAACAATAAATAGACAACATTGCTCAAGCACAGGCGTTTTTGTTTTGCATTGTTCACTGCATTGTCTGCACCAAATGTTGATTCTTATTTCACAGTGTGAGAAATTCAGAAGAAAAGGCAAGAAAGGAAGCCTTTTTATAGATTGTGTCAAAGTGAACACATTACTTAGATAAGGGTGCTCAGGCCTTTACTTTGTTGTTTCTTGAAAGCGAAAAACCTTATGGATCATTGTTAGAAACAGGCTGTGTGGTATTCAATTACTTTTCATTTTCTTACATCTGTTATTCTGTGTTTCAGGGTTATTATGACAACCCCAAGGTCTGCGCTCTCTATGTAATGAAGGGGACATCAGACGGTGAGTAATGAGACAAACATATTCTTCAGAAATTTGCATTTAAGTACATTACAATGTCTTGTCCAACCAGATGTATTCATTTTAGTACAGACGTTGAGGACTTAATGCTGCATTTCCACTGCTTGGTAAGATGCAGCTCTACTCATAGGTTGTCCATTAGCAAGAGATGTGGATCAGACTGGTACTGTTTGATGAAGGTTAAAAGCAAGCTGAGGATGAGTTAAAACACTGCAGACCTGGTCAGAGAGAATTACTACCAGTTTGGGATTTCCTACACATTTCCCACTATTCTAAAATGGCCTCAGTCCCCATATTTAAACCCATTGCAAATTCATCTCGCAAAACAATGTACAATTGACAAGCGCTTCTGTCCATCTGATTGGTTGCCAATAAAATAATGCAGAAAGTTTTGCATAGAAAATGATGTCAGTTAATGCCAACACTAAGGATGTCCTCTCTGCAGTGTAAGACAAAAGAGAAATGGACCTGATACCAAAAGTGGCGCTGATAAATATCTGTTATTTTGGACTTCCCTCACCCTTTTTATTTTCTGGACAGATGTGCCCAAACTTCAGCCGCACCCTGGCTTGGAGAAGCCTGAGGAGGAGGAGGAAGAAGAGGAGGAAAGTGAGCCAGGCGAGGAAGGTGGGAAGAAAAAGATTCCTGGAGGTTCCAAGCCCAGGGTCCAGTCCGGCCCCCGAACACCAAACCCATACGCCGCAGACAACAGCAGCCTCATGTTCCCCATCCTGGTGGCGTTCGGGGTCTTCATCCCCACACTGTTCTGCCTCTGTCGGCTGTGAGCTACAACTATCGGTGGAGGGGGCGTCAAACAGACAAGACGGCAAGAGACTATGGAGGGGGAGAAGGAGGGTGGGGGTTTGGGGGGGGTCATCTGCAGAACAGGTAAAGGCATACACACAGGGAGAGAGCTTGGAGAAAATCTGGACGACGGAAAACAATAAGAGACAATAACTTTTCGGGACGCCACTTCGCCGTGGAGCAATGGCTGCTGTCCAATTCTACCGGAAGAAAAGGAGTTGTTGGAAGTGTGTGCTGTGCGCTTCTTCGTGAATGTGTTTCGCATCCACTTCTGCTGACACTTTTGAACAATGTTAATCATTTCCACTCAGAGATCGTGCAGGATTTACAGATGCCAGTCTGCACGGTTTGAAACCACATTTCAGCAGCTAAGAGATGCTCAGGAGGGATTTGTCTGGGCCCGTTTTATAAGCTAAAAAGCATCGTTTTTGTACTGGGTGTAGCAAGGAAGCACACTGTTTAACACGCATCTGGTCACACATCAAATTGGAAATGGTGCTGCTTAGAAATTGGTTAAATAGAATAGGTAAGAGGTAACACAGTTGGCATTTGAGAGGCTCCCATTTTTCTCAATGTTTACGTCTTTCCACTCAGATCTAGTTGGTCCTTTGTTGACGTGCCATCATCTACTTGCCATAAGTTGTTTAAGTAAGAATTAGGCGTTGAGCCAGCTCTGCAGTGGGTGGAATTATTTGCTGTCTAAATCAGCCTGCCTTTTTGCATACATTTAGGTTGGGTTACACAAATCTGTTGGTGACGTGTGGTGAAGCATGACTTACTTTGCATCATTCCACCAAATACATATCTAGGGCCATTAAAGGTGTTCTCAAAAGTTATCGTAATTAAGTCCTGTTTACTGTCAAGAATTCATTTTTAACGTTAAAACATTAGAAAGTCGGAACGTGGAATAAAAAAATGTCAGTAAGAGACCAGAGTCAAAGTTGATGCTGTAAAACGCTGTAGCTCAAGTGAGTGGGGGTCTTCAGATCTCTGTATTTACTGTGAGCTTTGCCTTTTCTCTGAAGTCATTTAGTTTGCATGCCTGCCTTTTTTTGTTTCACCAAAGAATGTATTTTTTATTTTCTTAAAAAAAACAAAAACTGTGCCCTGTTTTTAATTTAAATAGCTTTCATAATACCATTTTGTGAAGCCTCTTTGGTAAATGGGTTAACAGGTATATAAGGACAAACATTTCCCCTTAATAACAACATTGAACTGATTTGGAGAAATTGTGTTTTGCCACATTTGACATCAGTGGCTAACTGGAGGGCTGCTTGTATCTCTCTTTGTCATACATTTGGGTTTTTGATTTCAAACCGAATGCTGTGTTGACTTTGGCCATGGACTTCTTCAGTCCTCCGTGTTTTTTTAAACGTAGAGAACAGGCAGCTCCATGTTAATATAATAAACTCTGTGCTAGTCAATGCACTTGTTTCATATAGCCCAAAAGTTGCTCTGTGGAACCACCAGTCCATCCACCTGTGAAAAGTCAAACACATTTTTTTATTTCTCGTTTAAAGTGTCTCCAAAATTCTTACCATTTTGTTAATTCAGTGTCAACTTTTGAGTGCAATTAAGCTTCTGGTCCTTTACTTGATTGAACTGGGGACACATCTTTATCTTCAACCCTTTTTCTTTTTTAAATGGCCACATTATCAGTCCACTTTGTCTGTGTTTTCTCAGCTTTTGAAAAATGATATCCTTGTGTTGCTTTCCATGGAGACTGAAAAGCAGCTTTGTTCTCCATTTTTAGTGTAGTAGTGTTGTGAACCCTCCTATTTATGTATCTAGTTACCTCCCTTAAGTGCTTAGCTCTACTTCAAGGACAATTTTGTAACTTTACCTGTTTCACTAATGCGTCTTAAATGTCCCCCGACACCCCCTTGCTAGTATTGCTGTTGCCATATGCAGTACTTAAACGGTTAATAATTCAGGTGTTGTGGACCCCTCCTCACTCCTCGATTCTCCTTCTCATTTTGATTGATGGTGAGCCAGAAGTTGGTGTCAGAACATTTTTGGTTTGTTGTTGGCAATTTGTGATTTTTGTTTTTCTTTCCTTTTTAAGTTGTAAACTTAACTCATATTTAAGACTTACAAGCACCTTTTTTTTTCTTCTGAAAGATGCAAACATTTCATTTAGTTCAGCACCAAAGTCACCGTGTTCTGTTCCTCTCCAAGTCTACACAGTTGCGTGTGTATATAAAGTACAAAAATCACACATTTGATCGTGTGACAACCGTTTTGTTCTCATCACTTTTGTGTTGTTGCTGAGGTGTTAGGTTTTTTTCTTTTTTCTAGGAAGACTTTGTGGCCTTTCTTCTGGGGAGAACGGTTGTTAGTACAGTTTAAAGAAGATTTAACGGGCAGCCAGATTAACTGACTGTCAGTCAAATAAATGAGATTGTCTGAAAATATGGGATCTTCCATTCTATTATATATAATTTAAATCAGAGTTGGGCTGATCTGGAGATATTTTATAATACGCTTGGATCTGTATGTTTGAATTTTTTCCTCAGGATCTGTTTTGTTTTGAGTTTTTAAAACTTGATATTTTATTGGTGTGACATTTTGCACTGCCTCATGTATTTTAAAATCATGTCATTTTTGTGTGTGTATGTCTTTGTTGCCTTGAATTATTGAATACATTGTGCTTTACCATCATTTGCCTTGCGGTTGCTCTTTTGTTGGCTTGCATCAAGTTAGCCTCTTTTTGTTTCCCTCTTCTGTTAAAACACACTTTACTGGGCTAGATTTTCATTCCACACAAACAACGGAAGTCTCAGAATAATAATTATAACTGTAGTTAACTTTTATAGGAGCAAAGCCAGGCAGAAAAAAAGTTTAGTTAAAACTGAAAAGTATCTCCAAAACATTATTTTTAATTCCTCAACCATTTTCGAACCTGTTGTTAAAACACCTCCATATTGAATGAACAGAGTGGAATGAAGATCTGCTCTGTTTTATTCACATGAGAACCAAAGAATAGCCGCCATTACATCAAAGCTCTCTGTCCTTATGTGACGCTAAAGGTTCTTCATTTCCATTCAACCTATTGTTTCTCTCATTGGTAAAGCAGTCCCTGGCCATGACTCCCAACTCCTTGAAATGTTCCTTTAAAAAAAAAAAAAAAAAAAAAGTGTAATTAATGTTACTTTGTTTGAGATGAACATATCCAGCCTGTTGCTATTTCTCCTTTTTTTTCCTTCCTCATTTTAAAAAGCAACTGAACATGTGAAATGATTTTAAACTGAGACAAATTTGAACAGCAAAACATCTGCCAACGTGTCCATCGTCCAGGCAGCAGACCACACACACACACACAATGAGGTCTGACAGCCACGTTCACACAGTGTGAGTGTGTGAGACAGTGAGTGTGCGCTTAACAATGAGTTCTACTGTATAGATATACATGTGTTGGACGAATAAACGCCCCTCTGGGGGGGCTGTAGGCAGCAGCAGGTGGACTGAGTAATGTATCCGAGACCCCTGATCTTACTCTGATGTGGCATATATCTGCAAAATGGGAAATGCTGTCTCTTTTTAATAAATGTGCTATTTTATCAAAACGTGGTGCTGCTGTTTTTCCACTCAACATACCTTACTTTGGGTATTTAACAAACTTTGAGCTGAGATCTAAAAGTAACAATATTTCCTGACACATGTAGTGGTCACAGCATGCACAGTCTGTTTGTCCAGGTGTTGTTTTTCCACCACCTGTGAAAACCTCTTGAAATAGACCTTCATATCTAACATGTGTTGGGACCAGAATATCCACAAGGGGAACACAGCTGAACAAAGTAGACTGTTTTATGCCCACAAACAGACACTTTTGAAACAACAAGCCATTGTTAGATTGAGCTTTAATAACCAAAGTATGACTCAGTTACAGTGTATCATATCCACTATTTACATATATATTTAGCAAGAAATAACATTAATAAATTAACATATTTGACATTGAAGTGCATAATGTCCTTGTGAGCTTTGACTCTGCATGTCTCTTAGTCTGAAAATAGAGTTTTTTTTCACTTCATCTGTAGTACAGAGCCATGAAAGGTGTGTGTGAGGGGTGAACACCGCCCGTCCCACAGGACACCCCCGACCCAGCCTGACTGCAGCCCAGAACGAGGCTCCGCTCCAGGGCAGGCCGTGTGCTGCCGGCCCCCTCCCCCCACACATCACCAGCCGTGTCCTGCTGTGCACCAGAAGTGGGCTTTTCTCCTGGTGCATACCCCCTGGAAGAGAACACCACCCGCCGCATGTTCACCAGGCTTGGACCCCCTCCAGCACCACCTGCCGCCTCCTGAAGACTCTGGAAGAGGAAGAGCAGATCCACCCTCAGGTCCACTGTGTTGCCCCGAGACCACAAACTGTACCTGAAGGAGGCGAGAGACAACAAAGTTACAACCAGGCCTGACTTCCAGAGACAAACAGTCAGTGACTTTTAAAAAGAGAAGAGGAATATGTGAAAAGCTATATAGGTCAAAGATAAAGACCGTGGTGAGATGGTGAAAGAGGGCTGTGTATGAACAAAAACAATGACTGTACAGTACAATCAAGTTTCCATTCAACATGTATATTGTTTTAGGAAAACTATCATAGTATAAATAGCAGACCACTATGCTATTAGGAATATCTTAAGAGGGCATACAAATGATCCACTCTTCTTTGTATGTAGGTTTGTTTTGAATATACGCAGTGTTTGGAAATCGTCATAGTATCACAAAACATAATATCACTCCACACTTTCTATATTTTCTTACACCTCTGGATCATGTTTACCTTGTATTAAGGCCTCGCTTTGCCAATGATGGAAGCACAGGATGGATGTCCAGGTGTTGTGGGTTGGATAGTTGGAGGTGAAGATCGGCTCTGATGACCGATAACGATAACATCTCCCTGGTGAAGAAAAACTCCACATTTGTGCCTGAGGAGGAGGAGGAGGAGGAGGAGGAGGAGGAGGAGGAGTGAGGAGGAGGAGGAGGAGGAGGAGGAGGAGGAGGAGGAGGAGGAGGAGGAGGAGGAGGAGGAGGAGGAGGAGGAGGAGGAGGAGGAGGAGGAGGAGGAGGAGGAGGAGGAGGAGGAGGAGGAGGAGGAGGGAGTCAGTCACAGAGAAGTTTATGAGCATTTCATGTCACAGAGCAGCACATACACTCATGTCAGGCTCCATTTTTTATAAATCTCAGGGATCAGAGTGAGATTTACACCACAGAGGTGATGTTTTCACTCCTAATACCATGTTAATCTGTCAGCAGGATGTCTCGACACCTCTCTGAGAGGACATTAAGCCAGCTAAGACTCATTTGTATGCAGATAACATCGTCTTCTATACAGATGCATTCATGGAGCCATTAATGTCCTTCGAGCTGCTTTTCAAGCACATCCGCTTTCACTTCTGCAATGGTGACATTCCCACAGTGTCACTCTCTGAACACAACATATTAATTATATGCCAGTTTGATGTTGCAACTTGTCCCCTGTGGACCCTCTCAATGCTGCATGTTAACACAAGGTGTAGAGAGAATTTAGTGAATTTGAAGACAAATGTCAATACTTTTATTGAACAAAGATATTGAGAATATCTTCAGCCCAAATCTGATGAGCATGTGTCACTACTCAACAAATAGAATCAACAAGTAAAGTTCTTGCAGTTGAAGAACGTTTCACCACTGGTTGCCTTTATGCCTCTTGATGGTGAGTGTCTACAGGCCTATATTTTAATCCTGAATGCACCATTTCCCACCATATTTGTAATAATTAATTGTCTAACAATTTGTGGAAGTAAAACACATGAAAACCAACCTGATCTCTACTTTTTCTTATCGAGCTCTGCAGCAAAGCAGGACCAACACATTTCAGTTCTAAAGTAGGCTTTGACAAGACATGCGTTTGAGCTGGATCTACTTTGTCTTACCTCCTCTCAGGCGACCTTGAATTCCTTTTACGCTCCTGCAGTCCCGTCCTTCTTGACAGCAGTGGTACACCGATCGCACAAAGCTGAAAAGGGATTTTCCTGGGAAAACCAGGCCATGGGATGCTCCAGGGGTTAAGGGCAGAGCACGGAGCTGCAACAGTGTGGCATTATCCTCGGGAGCTGGCTGTGTGTTTTCCAGCCAAGGGGCTGCCCGCTCCGCGCACCGTTCCCGGTACGTCTCAGCCACCCCGCGCCTCCACCGCCTCAACACGTCCGCGCGTAAAGTTGTTCCGGATTCATCTGCAGTTGTATGAAATCCCAGCGTGTCTACTGGGCGGCTAAATACTCCAAAGAAACGTGTCACCCCCGATAGAAGAAATAGAGAAATCCAAATGCATCGCGAGGAGGCCATGGCGATTTCTAAATCCGGCCCTTTGGATCTTCACTGATGGATAGCAGGCAGCTTTTCTGTTGTGCCAACTCTTCCTCTCTCTGCTTGCTATATACCCCACTGACAATGGGGACATCTTTCCACTTAGAATTTGAATTCTTGCCCTCCTCACAGACCCTGCCCCTCTTTTTGTTCGAGCCCTTAACCACCCATTTGCCCCCCACTGCTTTCTTTCAATGCGCCTGCATAATGAGGCGCCCCTGAGAGCGCCGACCCCAACCATTCAAATTCAGCTACTTAGCTAATTACTCCATATCTGGAACATCAACAACGATCTTATTTACAACACATACAGCGCAGAATGATTTTGAAAAACCGTGACTAATAATATTTTATGACCATGTGTTTGGCTTTTTTAAATACCCGTGCGCACGTCCTTCTGCGGGCGAGTTGTTACCATTTTGAAAAAAAGGCATTAAGCCTGAAGTGGGAAACAATGGGGGCCGGACTGAAGGGTCACATGCAGGCCGCTGATGGCCCTAATCGCACCGTGTAGCCCCTGTGGTTTCAAACAAGCATTTACAAAAGTAGCTCACAAGACTCAACACTGAGAGGATCATGTATTCATTTAATTTTCATTAATAATGCACTACAGTATATCACAGGGGTTGTCTTCTAGGCAAACTTAAGAAAACAGACATATCTGTACAGACACAGTAAATATAATAGCTCAATAGTTAAATAACACGTTTGTAATGGTACCAAGATTTGATTTTGAAATAAATAGATATTTTATACAAACTTTTTTTAGATCATTTAATAAATTGTGCACTAAAACAACACCGTTTTGCAGTGTGTGCAGCAAGGAATGATGCATGATTAAATTGAATTAAGATGTCTAAATTTCATACTGATTAAATAAATAAAGTTTAGAGAAACTATTACATACGGTGCATTGATGATTTGACTTAATAAAGCAATTGTCCACTTCTAGAAAGGTAACATTTAAGACATACAGAAATAATATTTGGCACAGAAACACATGAACAACTGAAACTATGAATAAAACCTCATTGTAAACACGTATTTCTCTACATTACCTCTACCAAACACCCTCTCTGTGATTAATAGCTACACAAATTAAAAAAGTTCTGCTATGAATGTAAAAGTTGCATACATCTATCATTATACAATCTTCTGTGGGAACAATTTAACCACAGCAGCAAGCAAGCAGAGTAAACTTTAACTGAAATATTCTCCCTGCTTCTTCAGGTTACTCACAGGGCAGCTCTCCACATGTTAACAGACCACAGCTCCTCAGAGCAGGTTAACCCCGTGTTTCAGCAGTCTGTGGCGGGCCTTGCCGGGCAGAGAGAAAGCACTGTCCTGGTGGTTAGGGATGCCGGAGTTCCTCAGCAATCCCCCGTGCTGCTGGAAGTAAGTTTCCTGAGCCACGCTGCGGGTCCCATACACAGCAGCTCCTGCACTCCTGCGGTGAGAATGTCACATTTACATTTCAAGCATGTAGGATGAGGACATGCAACACAAAAGAGCAAAGTGACATAATAAAGACGTTAAACAAAGAACTTTTGGAGTGTGATGTAAAATACTTTTACAGGGGAAAACTTTTCATTCATCACCGTAACACTGCCGAGTACCCTATCTACCATTTGTTCCGTTCTGTTTCGTACTCAAACAGAAACACATTTCAATTTGGATCGTGTTAATGTAGTTTAAAATAGAGGGTCAAAATATTTAAATTGTATTTGAACTAGAGCTGCAATGATGATGATCCAAAAATTGCAGAAATATTGTTTTAAGCCCCTAAAATATGGAGATTTTCTACTTTTCTCTGTTATATATAATTTGAAAAGATGGTATCTTTCCATATTTGTCTGTTAAATTAGAGAATAAGCGGGAGCTGTAATTTGGACTTGATTTGACAGCAAATATATTAAGTGTCTGATTCATTAAATATATATGTATCAGAATCATATTGCAGTTTCTATTGGCCCAAACATGATTGGTAGTAACGGACACTCTATTCGTTTTGCATATCTGTAGACTTTTTTTTAAAGATACAGCATAATTGCTTTGAGATAAACTGACCTCGTGGAAGATCATGTAGGGATTGTTGTAATGTGATGAAAGACACGATGAACTGACAGATCCAACCCCCCACCCCCGACTTCTACTTGAGGTCTCATGAAAAGTACAAGAACCCACCCCCCACCCCCCACCAAACCATCACATCAGTGCCGTACTGACCTGATAATAGCCTCCTGCAGAGTTTCAGTGTTACAGAAATGCGAGTGAAGGAGTGATGTGGCCCTCACAAAGGGCCGCTCCGGGGCTCCCCCCGGTCGACCAGACAGGTTGGCTGCAGACACACACACAACAACACACTCAGTACCACGGTGGCACATTAACCTGGACAGGCTGCACAAAGGAATCGCAGTCTGACTAATTAGCCATTAGATCATGCAAAGACAAATATAAACTACCAAACCCCCCCTTTAGTCCCCAGGTAGAGATGGGGCAGAAAATACTTACTGTAGAAAAGACAACATACTCTGATTGCAAATAATCAGCCGAGTGAATACAAAACTATACAAAGAAGAGTAAAGAGAGGAAATAGGTCAAAGTATTATAAGAGCCTTACATGTCAGTGTGCTCTGAATGCAGTCAAAATGGGCAAAGATGTAGGGTCCTGGAGCGCCCGGGACCCCAGGGGAGACACTCCTCAAATGAGCCTCCAGTCCATTGAGTGACGCCAGGCTGCTGTGATACTGGATACAAGCCAGAAAGGAGGAGTCGGTTGTTAGCATCACTAAGCTCACAAACTGAAAGGTCACCTATTATGCAAAATCCTCTTTTTCATGACTTTTATACATCAACACGTATCCCCTCTGTGGAAAGAGATTCTGAACGTTTCAGGAACAAAGAACCCCTCTATTTTTGTCCTGATCCATTTATATAAAAACCTGTCTAAAAATGTGCTGATCAGACTTTGGCCACTTTGTGATGTCAAAATGTTTTTTTGGCTTGTGTAACTATTAACCAACCAAGGTAACCCCCCCCCCCTCCACCTTATCACCTGCATCTCCTCCTAGAGCACCATTATGCTTTTTTTAACCAAATATCTCTCAGAGGGGCGTGGGGAGTAGCTCCTTATTTTCATCTAAAGTAACAGACACTTTTGAAACAGGGCTAAAACAGAGGGGATTATGGGATGCTACAATGGGTGATCTGTTTGGTATTTCGGGCCAAACACTTCAGAGACATGTTTTGTATATAACTGAGAACTATAATATATTGATGGAAAACAGTATAATAGGGGACCTTTAAAGTAATTAATATGAGAGTTGCTTTTTTCTTTTCTTCTTACCACTTCCTCCATAGAAGCTTTGTCGCTTAAGAAGTGCGGCTCCACCAGCAGAGCCAGCACCAGGCCTTTGACCCTGTGCAGGTACAGCGTCATGGGGATCAGTGGACTCTCCCCTGGGTGCTCGAAAGCATCGGAGCGAGGAGGATCTGGCCTCTCTACCTCGTGGCCCTGAACTCTCCCACAGCCACGTCCGCTGACCTCTTCAGAAACCTTGTTGTCATGTGACTCCTCAGCTACTCTGAAGTTAAACTCTTCCCCACAAGCTCCATCGACTCCACCTCCATTTAGATGGGAGTTTTCTCCAAACGCTGAGCTGTCTCCACCGTTATCTATCTGACTGCCTCCCTCTCCGTTGCTGTGAAAGCTGTGATAGTACGACTCTTCCAGCGACTCCTCCACAGAGGAGTGTTTGCCGTTTGAGAGAGGAGGCTCGGGAGGCTGCGGAGGGGGTGGATTGGGGGTGCTCTGTGATGGATCTGAGCTATACACAGAGCTTTCTGACAAGTGAGGGCTGAGGAGCTTCTGGGGAGACTGGGAGGATCCTGGATCAGACGGCTCTGACTCTGTGGAGGAGGGAGTGTCGGATAACGTTCTTGACAGGCGGGTCTTCTTTAAGGGGGTGTTTTTGTGTGGAGTAGAGTGGGAACTGGTGGGTAGAAAACAGTTTGAGACACTCAGAATTTGTAAGGGTGTTTTCACAGTACATTTGGATAGTCCAAATGAGTTGATTTTGGTTTGTCTTTGTGTGGGTAACAAATTAAAGTAGACAGAATTACACACGTACAAAGGAACAGAGACAAAAAGCAACACACAGAAGCCTTTATCATCGCTCAGATGTTAAGCGTTGGAAAACTAATTTGGGTGCAAGTGTCCAAATTCACAGAGATCCCAGAGCTCGATTAAAAAAGGATTTAATGTTTAAATTAAGACACATACTTTATGTTATTCAAACTGAATCTCATTGCAGACACTACCTGAAATCTTTGTCGACGGGGGTGGACTGCAGGTACTGAAGTTCAGACGGGGTCAGGAACACAGCGGTGGAGCTGACAGCGCTGCCAAATGAGCTGCTCTGTCCATTGGGTCTCTGGGGCTGAAACCAAATCAAAACACAGACTTGAGACTTTTTCTAAAAGAAATAGTTTGTAACATTTAGGTAAATACAATATTTGGCCTTCCTGTCAAGAGTTATATAACAAGATCAATACCACTATAATGACTCACAGAATGTCTGTGTAGCTGGAGCCATCAGCATGTTAGCTTAGCTATTGCAGTCCCAAATTGCAAAACATACCATTAAATGTCTCGGAAAATGTGACTTACTAAAGCGGGCCTGAAGTTGGCCCTATCATTTTTTAATTTTTTTAAATAAATGGCCACTTGTTAGGGGATTATTTTTCTATTTCAAGTGTTTTAAAGCCTTGATGAGAAAAGCTTAAGACTGTCCTACCTTTGTGTATGTCCCACTCTCATGAACCATCAACTTCATTGTGAGTTGGGGAGACATCTGTGTGCTTACAACTCTGTGGAGAAAAGTCAGATTTCAGGAACAAAAAATGACATATAAACAATTCGACTGACAGCTGGAAACAGTGGAAATGTCAGCTCACCTTCCTCTGAAAATAATACAGCCTGCTAACACCAGAGGGCAGCGCTGACAGGCCTGAAGAATGAGGGCAGCTTTGAGCAGCAGAAGGGGGTCAACCTGGGGATAAGAATAAAAAATGTAAGCATGCATGTCTTGCAAAAGCACAACATTGAAAGGTGACAAATATATTGTTTATAAGATAATAACTTTAACACTTAGTGAAAGTGTTACTTACAAAATGAGCACATTTTTACATTGTTTCAACCTTTGAATTTCGCCAAGAGCTCAGAATATCCCAGATTTACTGGCATTTGGTTGTTATAGCTTGTGCACATCTGTAAATGTGTTCTCTATCTGCAATGAATGTGCAAACACGTTGCTAAGACACACTGAAGACACCACAGGACATTGTGACATTCACATCCTGTTTGAGGTTAGCTTTATGCAGGAGGAGCTTATGATACACTACTGCAGGTTACATTTAGAATGGTGTGCGTACATTAGTTGAGTCGATGGTCGTCAAGCAGCTGAAGATGTGCTGAAGCTCTGAGGATCCTGACTGCAGGTGGGACAGATACTGAGCCCAGCGAGACGCCAGGGTCTCCTGACTGTTCAGCTGCAGCGCAAAACAGAGTTTCAATTACAAAAAGCATCTTTGAATATACAATTATTCTAACTAAAATGAAAAAGCAAGTAAATAAATGAAAAGTACCTGCTAGTTGAGAATGAATAATAACCTTGTTTCCTGAGTTATGTAACTTTTCGACAATTTTAACATGTATGTATATTTAGCTTCTTACATTTTATATTATTTTGACTTAATATCTCCACTTGTATTTCTTATCTATTGTAAGCATATAGCAGTGTTGGTCTACAACTAGATGCAAGTCTTTCTTTAAAAAACAAACAAAACATCTCTGTGCCACAAACCTGGCTAAACAACTAAACAAGACTTCTATAATATAAGACTACCAGACAACTGAAAAGTGCACCTGGTAGCTGTGTCTGACGGAGCCGTTGTAGAAACAGAAAAGGTTTATGAGCTGATCCAGGAGCTCACAGACACTGACGGTGGGGACTTCCACTGAGCAGCCCAGAGCCTGTAAAACACACCAAAAATGTGCTTACAATTCAAATCAAAGACTCAAAAGTGAGAAACATCTTGAAAATGTCCAGGATTGTGCTGACTCACCCAAAGTAAATCATCTTCCATGCGGATGGCAAACCTGTTGCGGTGCAGGTTCAGGATCCGCACAGGAGAGGACGAGAGTTCCGAGACACAGCGACCCGCGCCCGCCAGCTGACCACAGAGCAGCTCCTGCCGATCTAAAGGGGTCTGACAGAAACACACAGGAATCAACCCCCAAAACAGGGACTTCAAAAACAAACATCATACTCAACAGTACAACCACAAATTAAAAAAGGACAAACCTCTTCAGGGTAGAAGTAGCAGATTCCCTCTCTTGTTTGGTCGCTCTCTCCTCTGACTTTGGATCCATCATAGAGGAAGAAATAATTACACCTGCGGAAAAAATACAGAAATAAAACAGATCTTCAGTGAATGACCAGAGAGCAAACAGTGTGTCCAAGGTTTCCCTGGACACACTTTATACTAGAGAATAAATGAAATCCCTTTCATTGATAAGGTTATTAAAAGGCCGCTTTAGTGATGCTCATGCTTCAAATATTATGGCTAATGATTTTTATATTATTATTGCTCAATTTGTTTTATTGCGAGTTGCATGGTAGGAGGAGAATGTGCTAGAACTAATTGTCTATTTTATTAAAATAATAAATGGGAGGAATTGTTGTTTTTAACTGAACAAATAAACCATTAAGTTGAACACAAATGCTCTTAAAAGATCAGGATATGGGTTGGATGTAACTATCTACAGACACAGAGGGGACTGTTAAAGGACCATTCTGCAGATTATGGTCAATAGAGCATAAAAAGTCTCATCAGAATCAAAGTTATAAATACATTTCATTCTCATCCCCCAGATGGGGTAATTTGATGTTGTAATATTATCTCCAATTTAGAATAAAATAAAACAAAATATTGTACATAAACATGGAGGTTAAAGCAAAAATGTGAACACTGTAAAACTGTTTAATACCAAATATGAAAAACAGGATTTTAACAGTGGTGGAAAAAATACTACTCTTTACTTGGGTAAAAGTAGAATTACTATGGTCTTGAAATGTAAGTGTTGATTAGGCCTACATTTCTCATCTAGAATCCAAATCTAAAATAGCCTACATGTTATGGAGTAAATGTACATGAATAACCTCTGAATTCTAGTGGGGTATAAGTACAAAGTAGCAACATATTTAAATACTCAAGTCAGGGTCGGCGTCATGGGGGGTCATTCGTGGGCCATGCCCCCCCAAATGAGTCACTGTGCCCCCCCAACGCAGGGTTGGCAAGCCTTGCCACTTTGCCGTTTTTTCTTTTTCTAATCATATAAGTGAAAACGTTTCCACTAAAGGTTTTTTGTGTGAAATACATCAGAAATAAAGAATACAAATATAAAACACAGCCTGAGGTGTGCTCACTGCTGCTCTCTGATTGGTGTGTTGCTTGACCAATGACCCCCGACCTTTTTTTTTATCATTACGTGGCTGTGTGTTTAGATGAAAGCCCAGTGGCGATCTGTTCATCTGTTATACTGATTATACAGTAAAGCCATCGAAAAATAATATGATATACAGTACAGTACAAGTACATGGGTCTCTGTGTTTCATTCAAGCTCGGCTCTGTGTGTGTGGCACGAGCGCATTTTGTGAGTGCGCGAGCGGTAACGTGGAATGTTGTTAGCATCTGGTTAGCTAGCTATGCTAACGGATATAAAGGGCTGTTTCTACACCAAGGTGGAGGACAGTCCTCTCCTGTCAGACTGTGAGGATCTTATAACGTCAGCTCAGTGAGGTAAGGACTCTCAGTGTTTAGATAGTTCACTTTAGTGTAAGTTATCTCAGTGGGTCTCAAACGGTTTGGTCACGATTTATTTAAGTATTTTCGAGGAATACCTTTATATGATCATTATAGTTATTAAGAGAGAATAAATGAAAAACGGGTATGAAATACTATAGGACAGTAACACAAGAATACAGTTTAAAAGGGGAATGATTAGTAAAATATCCATAAAGAAAAAGTAAATCTGTGTACAGTTCTGTTTCATATGGATGCTGAGAGATGTAGGCTATCCATAGATCTCTTCATTTTGCTCTCAAAGTGCACCAGATTGATGCATTTAACTTCAATATTTTAAAAATAATCTTCCCGGGGGAGCATGCCCCCAGACCCTCCTAGAGGAGGTTAGGTCCACCCCCCACCTAAAACATGTTCACATGGATAGGATACTAAATACATTTGCACACTTTTTATATGGTGGCCTATGTCCATATCATATCAAATCAAGTTTTATTTATATAGCACATTTTTCAACGATTTTTGGTCGAGCCAAAGTGCTGTACATATAATAAAAAATAACCTACAGTAAAGACACTTTACAGCAAATACAACAGCACAGTTTGTGCAGAATATCAGTATGAGAAAACGACACCCTCTGTCCTTATATGTTTCTGTTTTGGTGGTCGTGCCACAACCGTGCATGTATGCACAAGTCATAGGTGCACTATACAATAGCACTACACCCCTGCAATGTGTGTGAAAGACAATAGACTTTACAGCATGTTTTTTGAAATTGAAGTTGCGTTGGTGTTTGTGTGTTGGTTGTTGACGGCAGTGTGTGCCCCCCCCTTGGTAAATGATTGCCCCCCCATTCGATTTGTTCTAGAGCCGACCCTGACTCAAGTAAAGTACAAGTCCTTTAAAATGGTAAAAAAAAAGTACTTGAGTAAATGTACTTCGTTACATTCCACCACTGCGTATTGCACAGTTACCTTCTTGAGTATGGCAGCACGAGCTCAGCCATCACCGACACGAAACCCAGAGAAAGATAAATATTCCTCAGTCATCGGTCATCTTGTATCCATGTATTTCCAACCCGACAGCCTGAAGATGAAAACGGAAAAAATAAGTGAAGAATTCAGCTGCGAGTCCGAGAGAGATGTTTACTAATCCTCCAAAGTTACTAAAAACATCTGTTACAAGTCGTACAGGCGCCGGAGGAAAATGTGCACAATGGGATGGTGGATAAATGTTTTTCTTCCACTGTTTATGTTGTATTCGCCACGAAAATGTGCCACTTTGACAGAGTAGTGATGCCAATTGAGGAATGCGGGTCAGTCACGTAGTGGAAGTCATGTGAAAGTATGGCGAGCTTCAAGGGACAAACAAGTGCGCCATTTACAATCGACAGAACATTCAACGAGCCGTACATTGTGGTACAAGAAATACAACTTACTTTTTAACTTGATTTTAATATTATGTATCGGCAGCATTTACACAAGTTAAAATATTTGTTCTTTTGAGTATATATCATTATTTATGAATTACATTATGTCGACTCGTAGCTAATGTGTATGTATTACTTTTAGGCATATTAATTGTAAAACGTGTAGCCCTTTTTATGATGAGATTATGCTTTATATGTCAAATCTTGATCTTCTAGCCAGGCGATCCTTGGCCCTCATTACCAAACAATATATTTCAGTCAAATGTAGGCTAACTGAAGTAGGTGCAATTGTATTCATAAAATGTTTGAACTTTTCTTAAATATGCTTACAATTCGAGTCTCATAAAAGGGGCTTTGCCTTGAGCGTAATGCGACCTGCATATTTTAAATATACATGACCAGTAATCCTGCTTCATATGGTCAGGAGAATACATTGATCTTTACCATGGGCCGAGCTCTAGATATATGAATCCTGTTTTCAGAGCTCGATAGAGGATGTCTTCAGATGTTGAGCGTGCACGCGCAATTACTGCATTTAAATCAAAGTTGAGTGAGCTGCTCTCGAGAGAAATCTGCAGATATGTAGCAACTAAATCGGGTCAGGTTTGTACGACTTTTAAATTGTTACAGGGTAAATGCGGAAATGCTGTTCTTAAAGTGTCGCTAAGCACTCCGCCATCTTGAAAATTGAGCAAACATCCGTGAAGTCTCGGAGAGAACGTGCACAGGATTTCAAGAGGAAGTAAAATAAAACAGTACTACCGGGCAACCTTTCAGCCTCTTGTTTTTGTAGCTGGGCCCACTCTTATACAGACTTATAACAAAACTGCAAAAACAGTTAACTTAACTATGTAACATTAAAGACAAGTAACAGACTTATCCGACCAAAATAACGTTAATAAGTGAAAGGCTGCCCAACATTCAACATTGTCTCCCTAACCATTGCCTGGATAGCGAAAATAAATTGTTACTTATAGATTAGAGTCCCACGATTTAATGAGGTTACACTGAAGCTCTCTAATGTTGACCAGTCAAATACATCATTAAATCTCACTAGAAATGTGTATGAAAGGTAATGAACATTTTGTATTGAGTGAATGTAATGTTTTGATATGTTAAATGTATGTTCCCTTGTTTCTTGTCCCCAATATTTCTCTTTGTTGATGTTGCAAATGGAGTTGCTGCGATGCAAAAAAAAAGTAAGAAGACTTGATTAGACAATAAATCATAAAGCAAACATCAAATAATAAAATTGGCAGTGTTCAGTAGTGATGGTGAGATGAAGCCTTATGAAGCTTTCCAGCCAATTGGTTCTCAAAAGGGTTCATCTCATGAGGCTTCATCATGGGCTTCATTTGAACACAAACCCCCCTGTTGGTCAAAGTGTGTAAAACAGGCAGATTGGACATCTCAACAGTGTGCTCTATCTCATACCGAGTTCCCGTTGAGTAAAGCCTTAGAATAAATCTAAACAACGAACATAAAATCATATTTTCATGTTAACAATATTATATTTATTCCAGTTGAATGATTGTGATTGAAAAGCCTAAGGAGGCTGGTAAACATTGCAAAGAGGGATTTGTATTCCTTAATAATATTCATAAACTTAACCATGTTGTAGCCTGAGAAAGGCTAAACCATATCAAAGAATACATTTGTTAATTACATTATCTCATTTAGCTGTAGCTTTTATAAACAACAAAAAATACGTATTGTTCAGTTGTTGAACCAGGGACCCTGCGGTCATGAGTCAACTGCTTTCCAGCTGAGCCACAGCACACACACTACAGCTCCCTGAAAACACTGCAATATATGTATTCCTGTATTGATGTTTTTATTCCTATATTTATTTATGCTTGTATCTATTTATACTTATGACATGCTCCGACCTCTATATAAGCGAGGGTCTGAGCTCTCTTGATTCCATCGTGTCACCGGGCCTGGGTACAGGAGGGGTAATATGGTTCTTATTATACATCCATGGGTAATATGAGCGTTGTGGTTCAACGGTTCAACCGATCTGAATCGCTTCCTGAAGCAGTCACGTGGTATCGACAGGCAGCGAGGCTTCGTTTGTCATCGATGACGTTACTGGCCCAAAACGATACAAGCCTCCATACATGCTTCACAAAAAGCTTCAGGGATTACTCGACACAAGCTCCGAAGCCTCGGCGCAATACGTAACATCACTAGTGTTCAGTGCATTCAGACAAAGGCAATTTATTACAATTCTCCGACCTGAAATATTGTTTTTACATATAATAATAGTAAAGAGAAAAAAAAGACCATGGTCACATAAGCTGCTTATCAAGTAATAACATTTCTTTCTCTATTTTCCTCATCTTCAGTGCTCTGTATACCATCTGATGGTCCCGGTTCTCCATCTCCTTCTTTAGGTAATTGCAGTAAAGTGCCCGTATGTCTTCTGTATGCCTCTGAAAGCAAAATGAAACAACACATGAGCTCATATTGGTTTTGGTTTTCTCTAATTGTTATCGTACCAAAGCCCAGTATTGACACTTAACTCACCGCTTCTCTTCTGCCACCGGTTGTAGCACACGCTGAATTAGCCTTCTCCTGGAAGCTGCTATTATGCAAAACCTATAAGAAAAACAAACATTAAATCAATTACTCAAGTCCTGTAGTTGTACTAAACTTGAGCCTAATCTTGTCGTGCCACCTTCTTCTTTTCCTCTGCTATATTTAAGAGGTAGCTACATTTTGTACTGTTTGCTCCACTACCTTTGTTTGAAAGCCTTAATAAATTAAGATATTTGCAATTGAAGAGTATGTTAAAGAAAGCACATTGTTGCACAAAAACATTTCATGGTTGCAAGATCTCAAATGTGGGCTGTGGGGAGTTATCCATAGTAAGATTAATCCTTATTAACAGTTCTGTAAAACATGGTTAAACATGCTTCACCTCAGCAGACAGTAACATCCTGCTTTTATACTAACGTATAAGTAATGATACTCTTAAGGGGACAGTCTTTTATGCTTTAATTTTCTTTAAGCACATTAAATTGATTTTACTTAAGCTTTATCTTCAGTAACATCTTTCTACAGTGTGTAGATCTTTAACTTGTGGTATAAGTGGTTTTACTCAAAGTTGGTATCTGAACAGTTCTTTCACTAATGTGACACATGTTAAGAAGTACTTACCCCTTCAAACTGAGAGTCACTGACGTCGGTCTCGTCACTGCTCACACTCTCTGGTTCTGTCTTAGTTATCGGCAGGAGGAGGACGGGATGGCCTGAGACTGCAGGGGTGGGGCACAATATCGAGTTAGAGAATAGAAAATACTTCACCAAGTTTTAATCAGACATTAAATACACCTACCACTGATAAAAGAGCTTTCAGACCCCGTCAGTGGCTCAATAAAGGCACCCCCAGGAAGGACCTCCACTCTCAGCCGGCCGTCTTTGTGCTGCAGCACGTCCTCCTCTGCAGAGGTCAGCGACGGGGTCCCTGGTTCCCCCTGGTTCCTCAGCACCTCCACCTGTCTTCTTTTTGCTTCACAAGAACATTTTGAGAGGCAAAACTGTTGGTGGAAGATGCACTAAGACCTTTACCTCCGATAAATTACTAGCGCTGTAGATATTCCTACTACAAGTACAAAATACTACATTTAAAGCCATACTCATGTCAATATTATCAGCAAAATGTCCTTAAAATACTAGTAACATTTTTCCTCTGAGTGTTTTACTATAATATAAGATACTTCTGGGTTATTTGAGCATTCTTGGACTTGCAATTTCATATAAATAAACGTTTTTTTTATTTATACTGTTACATACATGTATTTATTTATTCTTATTATCCTGTGTTTCTCTGTAATTGTTATTCACACTTATATTAATACTGCATTAATGTGTATGTTGGATTTTACTGTAGATGTTTAGGGGTGTGCAAATGTGAACTTCTTTAGACACTATTGGTTAGTTAAATCTGCAGCAGCAATAAATCATATTCCATAAGGCAAACCATTGTAAATGAAGACTTGCAATAAAGTTACCTGTTTGCACGATATTCTTATGTTTGACTTTCACTTGCTGCCACGTTCTTTTGAAGCCACTGTCCGAAACCCTAAGAAGTCATGAAAAATAATAATAAGATTATATATTAATGGAAAGGTGAAGTATGAGTAATATTTCAAATTAAACTAATTCATTCAATTAATTTCAAATGATTTTAACTCATGTTAAGTAGGCTACAATTATTAAAAAAGAGAAGAGAATGAAAATATATAAAGTGTATCAATCATTAAAATTAAAAACGACATTCTACATTTAATTATTAACCCATTCAGATAATTATGTCTTACGTGTTTATTTTATCAGCTATTCTCTGCCAGGATTCCTCTCTCTGTTTGGAGGCGGTGGTGGTGTTAGATTTGGCTGTCAGTATTTCTCTCTCTTCTTCATACAACTTCAAGATTAGTTCCTGCTCTTTGGAGCTGAAGAAATGTGCCCTCTCGTTTCTTCTCATCTGTAAATCTGAAAATAAAAACACATACACAAAGGAAGTGTGAAGATGCATTTATGAGAATAAAAAGAGTATTATTTATATATAGTTTGTGATGCTATGAGATTATCCTCACCTCTTTCTGTATTCATGGCTCTTGATTCGGTTTTCGATTGCTCTCCCCTATGAGGCTGAGCGGGTACGCGCAGTTATCCGAGATGTTTCAATGCTAGATTTAGTAATCAAAACGTAACCGTGTCTTAACCCTACGGTGCTTAAAAGGAACAAATCCGATGTTATTAGAGGCGACGGTTCGTCACGGGACTCTTCACATTATTAAATAAGTGTCTAAGTGAAAGAAATGAAGAAACATTACCCGAGTTATGAAGCTGGATATCTGCGAGCTTTGTTAACCCAGGATTTTCTAATTCGGCTTAACGCGCGTTCACGTGAAAGAGGTGGAGTCTGTAAGAAAGAGCCAGTAACGTGAAACAGGGACATTTCGTTTAAATGCAATAAATGTATTATATTAAAAAAACTCAAGGGGAATTCAAGGACTGCAGATGGAATGTAGCGTTTAGCTATAATTAATATGAGATTAATATATGTATATGCATGGTCCTTGTTCAATAAAGATATAGGTCTAAGGTCATTAAATTGTCAGTTGTGAAAATAATATATGGTTTAAATGTATTGGTTTTCCTTTATGATGTAGTACTTTATGTACAACGTAGTTTATGTATAAGTGAAATAATTATAAATAATGCCCAGAGTGGCACAATCCACAAATGTTATTCGACTGCTTTTGGGTTAGCTGAATTGCACATTTGTACAAGAGCTGATATATGATTAATAGTGTAATTATGTAAAGTAATTAAAACAAATCTAAAAGGGTGAGGATTATGGCACATCACTGTACTGCATTTACTTTTGAATAATGACGTGAAATCAGGTTTGGATCGACCTAGGATCTGTGGGGTCATTAAACAGTACAGAAATAAAAAAGGTGTTTGGAAAGGGGAAAGTGATACGATAAAAAACAATGGCTTCATTAAAACTGAATTAGTTGACCGGATTCCACACATTTTTTATACCTTTTAAATTATTGTTGTTGAAAAATAATGTGTTTTTAAAAAAAATGAACAATTAGTTAATTAATGGGACAGAAAAGTATTCAGCTATTTTGATAGCTGAATAATCAATATGGGGAATTTCTCATCAAAAGATGCAACATTAGCCTCTCAAATATAGAGATTTACTGATGCGCGTTACTATCATGTTAAAGTACATTTATTAGTTTTTTGTGCTGAAGAAACAAGAAATGTATCATCTTGGTCTTTGAGAAACTGGGATGGACATTATTCAGCATGTTCTGACACGATATAGACCAAAACATGAATCTGCAATGTACAAAATAATCGTTAGTTGCAGCCCTTAACACAACATCAACAAAAACAAGACATAAGACAGGAATTGAGGTAATAGTTACTTTAATAATGTTCATTCAGTATCAGGCTGACATTTTGCTTAATGGTCCAGAGTCAAATTAAATGTTGGTTCAGGTGCCCCATGTTGAGAGCACAGCGGTAAACACAACAGAAGAAGAGTAAACTCAGAGTGGAAGTGTGGTCCAGTAACGCAGAGGGAGGTCTGGTCCCCGGAGAGTCAGGAGGTCTGGAGGAGGGTTTACTCATCGCCCTCATAGCCGCCAGGAAGGGGGTTAAGCTCACGGTTGTGGAAAAGGGATTTGGAGCCATCTCCCCAGGGGAAACGCTGCAAGAAAACAAATTGAGATAATAAGTACAAAATATTGATGAACGTGGCATCATATCCATCTGATGTATAGTGTATATAGCATATTTCTAATGTATTATCTACACTACTTCATTATCTCTTACCCCATGCAGTTCTATATATCCAACCATTTATTTACAGAGGCAGAAGAAGTAACCTGATTTGTATTAGTAAACGTAGCACTATTAAAATGTAAAAATAATCTGTTACAAGTAAAATTCCTGCTTTTAAAATCTTACTTAAGTAAAGCTACAAAAGTATTGGCATCAAAATAGACTTTAAGAACCAAATGTAAAAGAACTTCAAGCACAATGGGTCATTCCAATTTAGTACATTTCTTATTTATTATAATTATTGATGCGTTAATGAGTTCATCGCAGCAAAAGATTGAGCTAATTTTAATTGTTGAATGACTTTAATTCATATTTTACATTAGCTAATAATCTGACTATCAAATGAATAATGGAGAGAAAGAACGATATTAACGTCTAAAACTACTAGTGGAGTAGAAGTATAAAGCGACATAATATGAAAGACTAGAGTTAATGTACTTCATTAAATTCCACCACTGTTTTATTTCTATACGTGAAAAATACACTTCACTGCTTTTATCTAGTTCGATTCTAAACTGCATATTGTTGTAATTTTACCCTGTGCAATGACAAATAAACTAGACTCCAAAATCATTTTTTTAAAGTAACAGAGTCAGACCTTGGTGCGAATCCGAAGGTGGGAATAAGGGATGAACTCTGGCCTTTCATAATGCGCCGCATGGTGCTTCATTTTCAGGTACATGTTCAACATGCACACAGCAACACCCGGGAGTGCGACAAAATAAGTGAGGCGCTTCCATAACTTGGCTGGAAGACAAAAAGACAATAATAATTAGTTTGATAAAATATAGCAATTAGAAGTGCAACCATACTGAGATTGTTAAGAAATGAATGTGCTTTGGAAACAAGAAAAATGGAGGTTCAGTCAATTGTTTCTACACCCAACAAGTGTGACATTATGAAATGTTAAGACAACTTATTGTTGGACAGGAAACCCTTAATGTGTGCCGTTTACCATAACTAAAATGTTGAAAGGTTAAATGTATGGACATTTCTAATCAAATAAATGATCATTATTACAATATGTACAATTTATCCGTTTAAAAAATGTAAGCACTTTTTTCGAGAGTATTGTTGTGCAACAAATATAGACTGTATAAGCTTAAAATTCATTTTTGATAAGTTGATATACAAAAGTTATATTCATTTAAGTGTTGTTTGATGATCATGTATGTCAGGGGCAACATCTCAGCATGTTATGTTAAAGACACCTGTTAACTTAGGTGACTAGTCTCTTACTAGCTGGGTATTATACACATGATACTTTTATCAGTACCATTTATTTAAAAGTGTTTTAGTCTTCACACTAATAACAAAAATAATATAAAAACATAATATTAATATGTAAAAGTCATTCTTGAAATTGTATTTCCATCAGGTCATTTCTTTTTTACTTTTCCCACTCTAGCTCAAATCCTCTGCACAAACTATTTTACCTTGACAATCCTTCAATCCCTTTCAATGGTTGGTAACTGTTTTGTATAACTTAATACAAGTTGGGGGAATAAAGATAACCTTAGATAGTTATGTATCTCCAATGACCTGACGTTTCACTGTTGTTGCTCTTTAGCTTCAGGCCGTAGCTTTACATCATCACTTCTCCACTTTTTAGCCTCGTAATTAGAGCAGAGTAAATAAACAAACATTAAATGTATGAGTTTAGAGGTTTTAAAGGAGGTGGCAGGCTGAAATGACCACGTTCAGGTTGAAAATCTCATGCTTTGGGCATTTCTGCTCAAGAATGTTGTGCTAATGCTAATGCTAAAAGGGCAACGTTAGCTCAGCAAGGTCACTGTTAGTTGGCGTTAAAATACATGACATTATATAAAACCAGATAACTAAAAGGAGGAGCTTTACTCACATGCCTCATGGCCTTGTTCAGCGGTAGCAGAAAGTTGACGCCGGCTCTGGGTCAGAGAAGACTTGAGCAAAGCCTGAGACAAGCGTCCGAGAGCCATTTTCCTTTCAATGAGAAGCAGAGAGACCGGAAGGACTTTGTAATGAGTGGTCACGTGGAGGCTGACAGCGCTGCTGGGTGACCACGTGGTGAGACTGGGAACTACAGAGACTCCGGATAAAAACTCCAAACTCCAGGTAACTGTTATTGTTCCTGTAGCAATGAAGTTCTCAGATCATTTAATCATTTACTTATTTATTTTAGTAAAAGCACCAAAAGATTGTTATACAAATACTTAATTATTAGTAAAAAAACCTGAATTCAAAATATTACTTTAGTAAGAGTACAAAAGTATTATCAGCAATGTACTGAAAGAATAAAAAGTGAAAGTAATCATTGTGCAAAGAAATTGCCTATAGCCAGGGGTGCACATCACTTTTTTGCCCTGGTTCTCAAAGGAGCACCTGGAGATGTTGCTTGGTGCTCATCCTTAAAATGAAATAAACCGTAACCTTTGAGGGGGTCTTGACTTTATTTGCCAGACACACTGCACTGAACACACATGCAGAGGTGAACACAGAACACACATGCAGTGGTGAACACAAGACAACATTAGCACGACCAGTAATCCTACAAGCTGTCATCACTACCCTCCTGACTGTTCTCCTCACTGTCTTCCTCTCTGTCAGACATGGTAGCTGATGATGTAGGCCTACTTCTTTCTCTCTGGTTGAGTCTGTGATTAGCTGCTTGCATCCACAAGTCAACAGCTGGTTTTGGGTCGAAAGTCTCTGTTGTGATCTTAGACAAGTGGATGTAATCAAAAAAGTGTGTGAACATAACCAATAACCTACCATAGCCAATAACAAATGAATGTAACTTATTTTATTTGTGTTGTTCATTCATATCTTATTTTACCTTAACATTTATTTATTTATGCATTTTTTTTTTAGCTCTCCAGTTTTAAAGGATGTTTTTGGTTACTGTACTATAGTATACATTGGAATGATTTAAAACCTGTTTATCCCAATAATTATAAAGGAGTGCCTTGGAAATATGTGTTTACATAAATTGTGACCAAACCGTTTGAACTTAGACTGAAGTGAACTATCTAAACACTGAGCTGTAGTTAACTTATCAGCCTCTCAGTCTGACTGGAGAGGACTCTCCCTCCACATTATTGTAGAAACATCTTCTTCTTATATCCGTTAGAGCAGCTAGCACGGCACCAGATTATAATAACAACAGCGCTGGTACCGGTGCACCCTCGCATTTTGTCTGTGAGCTGCGGGCGCCAGATAAGCCAACATCCCCCATTTTCATCACTTACAGCGCCCATCGTACAGGGCAAATGAAACGTGTAACCGGGGTGAAAAGGGTGTTACATTTACTTAATTATGAATATTGTTACATCAAGGCCGAAAATTAGGATGAGCCCCAACGGTCAAAATGTTTTTTGCCCTCCCAGAACTGCCAGCGCAGCGACTCCCCAGATCTGGCGCCCAAGGCGAACATCTAGCCAGTGCTACGGGCCGGCCCTGAGTTCATATCATGGTTCATATGCAACTCGCAAATATCTTTCTTTCTCTCTCTCTCCTCTATTTTCTCTTCTCCCTTCTCTCTCTCCCTCTCTCCCTCTCTCAATGTTGGTACGCAAATGCGCTTTGTTTCAAATGACCCGGTGCTCTTTTTTTGGCGGAGGTGCGCATGCGCACCTGCGCACCAGTTATGTGCAGCCCTGCCTATAGCCTATGTGTGACATTTCTAGATAGTATTGTTGCATCGTATAGCATTTTACTGTTGAACACATTTCTGATTTATTTAATTTATTGATTAATTTTTTATTATTCATTTAGTTAAAAGTATCTAAAACTGTTGAATAAATGAAATGGATTAAAAAATATATATATTTTCCTCTGGAATTTAGTGGTCGTAGAAGTATAAAGTAGCATTAAGCAGAAAGAATCAAGTACAGTTAAATTATGTCCAAATACTATTTAATACAATACTTGTACTTTGAACTGTCTGAAATGAATTGTTGCAGGAGCCTGGGATTTAGGATTCTCATTGCCAAAACAACGCTGTGTTTATTGTGCATATGAAAATAAAGACTTTGTGTCTTTGTATCAAGTGTAGCTTAAATCCGGAAGATTATTTGGGGTCAGGAACAAGGCAACAAAATGAGAAGAGGAAGATGGGTTATATTTTGCAATTAGAGATTAAAGTGGAATAATGGTGAATTGCTAGAATATTCAGTAATGCCTATTTCGCAAATGGTTATTCTTGATAATTTGCCTTTATTCATGATGTTTCAACCTAATTCTCTTTACGTTATTCTAAACATTTTATTATTTGCTGTATTGTTAACATTTCGACTTAATCCTGGTAAGGATATTTCACTTTATTTGACACATTTTGACTTTATTTCATAGTTTACTTTGTAGTTGATTTCCCCATATGCTTGGCCTTAATACACATATGTATGAATGTAAATATAAGTAGAAATGTAATAGTTACTGTAAATAAAATAAATGTGTCACTTCACCAGAGGTACAAGGACAGATGTGAGGTCAACTGAATAGAGAGGGAACCTTACAAAGAATTCTTACACAATCTTTAACGAAACCTTGCATTATTTTTCTCGTACTTTAAACAAATGAAGCATGAAAATGTTGAAAAAATACATTGTCAATGATTCAAACATACAATGATACCAAGAGAGAAATTAATGTGTGCAGTGTAACAAAGCTGTTCTATCATCTAATTTCTCTTTCCCCCCTCCAAAAATAACTGTGTGCATTTTGGGTAAAAGACTCATACAGTATTATATGGAACAGAACAAACTCTTACTTCCTGTGTTTGATTTCATGGTCAGAGTCCAACAGTGAGATCCAGAGAGATTCTGTCTGATGGAGGTAAGCCATGCATCTTTACTTTGTTGTTTGTTTGTTCTTGCAATTACTTGCGATCATTAATTTCAAAATTCATACAAATCCATGACTGTATTATGTGCATTAATGTACCAATAACACAAAGAATTAAATACTTAATAGTACAGATATCAATAAAGACAATACTTTTATATCATACATTACAATAACATACAAATAAATGTATCTGTATGTATTTGAGCACTTTTATTATACAGTATAAAGTCGAGAATTTTCTTTTATTTATTGAGCCGTTAATAGTTAACACGTGGCTTGAAAACAAACATGAAGTTTTAGGTGAACTCTTATTTTCGGAAAGTTTCAAATGACTACAAACTGAACATTTGCATTAACACTAACACATCAATAAACTTTGATTTGAACTTTGAAATGACAGCAACATAGGTAGAAATACTAGTTTTGTATTCACTTCATAAGAAGTATTTTTAATAAAGTATTTTCTGAGTTATTTAAGTAATGGAGTCTCAGTATCACCAGTTTGGATCGTCTGGTAACAGCCCTGTCCATGGAGAGACACAAATGACTGCACAAACAGGTAAAATGTGTAAATGTTTTATTTTATTTGTATGAAATAAAGTCACATTCAACTATTAAAACAAATCTGTTGGTAGGCATGAAGAGGATCCTGATGTGGGTTCTCTATGGAGTGCTGGTGCTGCTGCTGCTGATCCTGCTGATGGTCACTGGGATCAAATGTAACACCTCCAGCTGATTCATTATTCATGAAGCTAATTCACTCTCATCTTATCATGTAACTATTTCTGTTTGTGTCTCAAAGTCTCCCAGCTAAACAAGGAAGTCACTGATGTCAAACTCAACCTCAAGAGGACCATCAATGGAGGAGCAGCTTTATCACCCAATTCTGGTTAGGGGACGTTTTTCATTTCTGGATCAAATAAATTACAATAATAATGTAATGGTGATGAGTGGCAGTTACTGAGAAAAATATAAATAAATTATAGTTACAAATCAAAATGTTTGTCATTACAAATGGGTGTGGTAAACAGCTTAAATGCAGAATATAATGTCATGTTTTTTATGTAGTCCAACTTTAGTTCAAGTTCTATTGAGCACATTTTAATAACGTTTGACAGTCATCAGTGTTAAGTGATGTTGTGAGGTTTGTACTGCTTTGTTTGAGTTTTAATCTTAATTGCCCAGTTTAATTGATCATATTAAATAAATTACATTACTTTCATTAAGTAATTTAAATCACTTATTACTTTACTTAATAACACAAATTGATATCAATCTGTAACCTATTACATTTAGAGAGTGACATATAATGATGTAAAATGTCTGCCCTTGATTTAACTTTGTATTTTTCGGTTTCCAAACAAAGTTGAAGCAACTGAGCAGGAGGCCTCATTACCGAGACTTATCCCTGTTCGAGGTAAACACTGCCTAAAATCAGATTTCAGTGGTTTTATGGTTTTTAAATAAGATTTGTACTAATCTTCATGAAACCAGGAGCCTGCAGGGAGGGATGAGTTTCTTACGAGAGGAGCTGCTACAAGATATCCACCAACTCACTGACCTGGAGCAAAGCGGAGAACCAGTGTCGAGCACAGGAGGGACACCTGGTGGTTCTGAATACTGCGGAGGAACTGGTGAGGTTTATTTATTTCAAGTGGAGCTGTCTTTTCTTTTGCTGACGTATTCCTTCACTGAATGGTGGAAGAAGTACTCCGATTATTTTAATAAATGAAAGTATAAATACAATGGTTTAAAAATACTCCATTACAAGTAAAACGCGTGGATGCAAAATGTTTCTTAAAGGGGCCCTGTTATGCTCATTTTCAGGTTCATATTTACATTACATTACATGTTAGACGGTTTTATCCAAAGCGACTTACATACTCAATACTGTGGGCAATCCCCACAGGAGCAATTTTGGGTGAGGTGTCTTGCCCAGGGACCCAACTACATGCTGACTGCAGTGGGGTTTGAACCTGTGCTCCTCTGATCCGAACACCAATGCACTAGTCCACTATGCCACACGCCTCCATATTTGTATTTGGTGCCTCTACTGTGACATGTTTACTTTAATGATCAAAATGTCTTTATTTTGTTCTCATACTGATCGCAGCACCTATTTTCACCCTCTGTCTAAAATCAGAGCCAAGTCTGCTCTGATTGGTTAGCTGGCCGGCTCTGTTGGGATTGGTCAACCGCTTAGAGCTGTCCCGCCCCTAAGCCTGTTGGAGTGTGTGTGAGACAAACTCCCTCTGGAGGGAACTTTGGGATTTCAGTCTTTGCAGACCATTTACTTGCACCAAAACCAAAAACTATATAACACACTACAGAGAAGGGAAAACCCTAAAAAGCATAAAAGTACTGCATCAGATCAGATAAGCATATGTTTTAATATGTTGAAAGTGCAAGTGTTAAATATTTGTAGTGAAGTACAATACCTACCTCAAAAATGTAGTGGCGTAAAAGTATATTTAGAATAAATTGGAAAGTATTTTAGAAAAGAAAGTATTACTTGAGTGATTGTACTTTGTTATGTTCAACCTGGGACTGTTTGAATGTGCAAATACAGGCTCTGATAAGGAGCACACAAAAACAGCAAAGGCCTCAATTAAGCTTTTGGTGTTCTCTATTTTTTGTTTTGAAATCAGATACAATTATTGGATTGGACTTGTGGAGCGAGAGAACGAGGGACACTGGAGCTGGGTGGATGGAACGGACATCAACTCAACCCCAACGTAAGAGAAACGTGTAGCAACAATAAAACCCAAAGTAAAAATGACCAAATTATGCCCAACTTGATTTGACCGGGTCCACTTTTGCTGAATGACAGGAAGCCTGGGGCAGTGCATACACAAACAAAGATATGTATCAGAAATAATGAGTACTTTTGTCAGGAACACAACAAATGTTGCTTTGAATATCTTTATTTTCAAATAAATAAAGAATACATAACTGAATTACTAACTTAACTTGTAAACTAAATTATTTATATGGGTTTTATTTATATATATATATAATGTCATTTAATGTTAATCACTAGGCCTATATGACATAAAACACATTTTAGATTTACTTAAAGGTCACCTATTATGCAAAATCCACTTTTGCATGTCTTTTATACATCAACATGTGTCCCCTCTTTGAAAAGAGATTCTGAAAGTTTCAGGAAGAGATTCTCTCTCTTTTTGTCCTGATCCATTTATATAAAAAACGCGTTAACGCAAAAAAAAATTAACGCCACTAATTATTTTAACGCGATTAACGCATGTGTATTTTTTTTCCTCGGCCGCCCCGTAGTTTCAGAGCGCATCGAGTTTAAAATACCATCTACAAGCTGATGCTGACAGCCCCGCTCCTGCCGCCCGCTTGTGGCAGACCACACTTCCACGCTCACCGGCAGGCACCGACTGGCTGTTGGGAGGACCGGGAGGGTGTGTGTATGTGTGGCCTGAGCGAGCGAGAGAGACCTTATGTGCATTGTTGTTGTTAGCATCTGGTGCTAGCTAGCTGCGCTAACGGATAAGGAGCTGTTTAAATGAAAACAGAGGAGCGACATTTCGCCACAACTGCGCCGAGCACTTGACTTTATGCAGGAAGCCAGACAGTGGGACATTGTACGAAAAGTCAGCACACTCAGCACGGATAGTGCGCAACATGATTGCAGCGCGCAGGCAGCTCCCGTTCAAGCATATGCCTTGAGTTGCACATAGCTCCAACGATCCATCACACACACACACACACACACACACACACACACACACACACACACACACACACACACACACACACACACACACACACACACACACACACACACACACACACACACACACACACACACACACACACACACACACACACACACACACACACACACACACACACACACACACACACACACACACACACACACCATTTGTATTGTATTATTGTATGAGAGGTTCCAGGTTGAATTGAGGCGAATATTTGTAATGTTCAGAGGTTGTTGTGTTTAATATTCATGAGAATATTTGTCATTGTTCAAATGATAATAAACATTAGCATAAAGCATATTTGTCCACTCATATGTTCCTCTAAGGTACATTTAGAACAGATCAAAAATGTGCGATTAATCGCGATTAACTATTTTAATCGACTGACAGCCCTAATAAAAACCTGTCTGAAAATGAGCTGATCAGATTTTGGCCACTTTATGTCATAATGTGTTTTTGGTTGTGTAACCATTAGCCAATAACCAACCAAGGTACCCCCCCCCCCCCCCCACCCTATCTCCTGAATCCCCTCCGAGAGCACCATTGTGTTCTTTTTAACCAAATATCTCTCAGAGGGGCGTGGGGAGGGGCTCCTTATTTTCATCTAAAGTAACACACAGAGAATCAGCACTTTTGAAACAGGGCTGAAACAGAGGGGATTATGGGATGCTGCAATGATATGTTTGGTGTTTGGAGCCAAACACTTCAGAGACATGTTTTGTATATATCTGAGACCTATAATATATTGATGAAAAACAGTATAATGGGGGACCTTTAAGGCAATCACATCAATGTATTTTCAATGTGAATCAGAACATGTTCTGCATGCCCCTTGGCACCAGGCTGTGGGTTCACTGAACTACACTTAATGCAGAACATTGTATTTGTTTCTCCTCCTTCCTCTGTTTGTGCTCAGTTTCTGGGATAAAGGTCAGCCTGATGACTGGGACTTCAGAGAGAACGGAGTGGACTGTGGGCAGATTCACGCTTCTGTGAGACGCAAACGCGAGATGTGAAACGACGCAGACTGCAGCCTGACATATCAATATATCTGTGAGAGCAGAGTGTGAGAGGTTCCTCCTTTCAAAGGAGAACGTTTGAAACATGGGGGGAGTTGCAAGAGGGAGTAGGTTGTGGTTGTAATTTGTTTGATCCCATCAATTTGTGTCTTTCCATGTATTTTATTTTTTTGCAATTGACCACGATGGAAATTAATGTTTTTAGTAATGATGTAAAGAGATATCCTCTATATAATTTATATCTCAATGCCTAATAAAAATCTAATGAAAAACGACTGATGGAAAGTATGTGTTTCCTTGGGCACTGAAACAACACAATATTTATAACCCAGATAATCAACAAAACAAAATTAATTAAAAAAAAAGGTTTTCTCATTCATAATGTCACTTAGACAGTATGTGGTTAAATCATATACTACATACATTATAATAGGTATATCAAAGTATCTATCTGCATAGTACTAATTGTTACAGACATGTGGAGAGGTATGACCGGACCTGCCACACAGAGCAGTTAAAAGGCACTGTGGACACTTTGGAGAACTCTCAGCTAAAGCCACCATGAAATCTAAATGGCTCCTGAGGATGAAAACATGTATTGTTTTTCTATTTCTAAATACTCACAGTCTGCGAGGCTGTGCATTAGGAGAAATGGGTCGGATTCCTCTTGCAGCTAAAGATGTGCAGTGCAGAGCTAAAGCCTTACATTAACCCTGACCTAGAGATGGTCCCTTTTTGGCCAATTCCCAAGAGTCACCTATCTCTTATTCTACATTATGCAACATGTATGCACACAGGAGTGTAGTCATTGGTGGACACAGATTGTTGACACTGTAACAAATATATTTCCTTTATTCAAAGTTTAAGTTAAAGTTTGATGTTTCTATAGCCAAAGTGATTTTCTGAATTAATAATGACTTACATTTCACAAAGAGCACTACAATATATTGTTTCTTTCTGTGACACTTCCAGTGGAAAGTCGTGGGAACTCTGTTGAAAGTGAGAGCTATTTACACAGCTGTGTGTTGCAAGGTTATCTTAAATCAACTTCTATGTAAAGAAGGAAAAGGAAAACTTGAGTAAGGACAGAGTAAACAGAGAGAACAGAAATAGATCATTTGATCAGGAAATGTGTAGAATATGGGGATGGATCGAAGATAAATTGTAAATATAATCTACAGGTTAACCTGGGAGGGGAGAATAGGTCCTTTAATAATAATAATAAACACATTTTTTTTCTCCTGAATATTTTCCTTAGAAATAGCTGGGTTTGAACTTCCCCATAACTTTAAAACGTTACCTAATTACAGAAGCATTGTTCTTTTATATGCTAATATGCATTAGCAAGTTATATATCTTTTCATCACTCCATAAATCAGAAAAATACTGAAATTAGTCATTTAAAAAAACCAAATTTTGCCATGTTATTTGGAATACATGTTTTCTGAAATGTTATGAGGCATTATCTGCACAAATTGTGTTTGACAAAAATAAAAATGTAGAAGATACACCCCAGTTGTGTATTGTTGATGTTTTCTTTACACTGGTCTCAAGGAAGACATTTCATGGAGGTCTGAGAGACTGATTATATGTACTATTTGCAAACTGTTACACTTGTTATTGAATGTGTTAACACAGAGCACTTATGTTCAAACCTGAAAGTAAGTCCTATTTAAAGCTGCCGCCTTCTTATCTGCTTTTCTAGTTTTTCTCACCTCCTGTCATTTCAATCAGGAGAGACTTCATTTTGTTTAAAGAACATTTATTGACACATGTCATATGATAAATGTTAAGTCTTTGGTGATTAGACCCCGATCCTGAAATCGTATATCTAAAGGGGGAAATGCAGCCGTGAGCATACCCCTCGGGTTCTAGACACTGGTGATGATGCTGAAGATCTGGATTTGATGAGGAGATGGGATGAAGAGGAGGTCTGATGAGGTCTTTGGATTAACTCTCCTGGCACTGGATATGATGAAAGGAGGTGGATGGGGAGGAGGCGGGCGGCAGCATGAAAACCTGAAATCACAGCTGACTGCAGGAGAGAGGAGAACCATTTTAACCTGTTAAGCCCCGAGCCTGTTTTTCAGGTCTCAGGCTCGAAAATGACATTCCCAGAACAAATGACCATATCTTCCCTTCTAAAAGGGTTACATTAATAATATTTTTTCTCAAAGTAATGATAAACCTGTGAGTTGGATGTAGAAGAGTCAGAATCAATATAGATGTTTTTTATTTTAAAGAAAATTCAGATTGAACATGGTAAAAAACTGTAAATTATAGTGTCCGTCCAAAACATATTTTGTACTTATAGTGAAAACTAACCTTGGATGATGGGTTAGGAGACTAAAAGTTTTAGGAATCCAAAGTACACCATATAATAAGTACCCTGTATCAAGATTGATGCAAAACAAGTGATATTTGACCTTTTTAGACAGATTTAGCAAAACAAACCTCTTCTGGGGCCATTTGGGTGGATTTTCCTTATCTCTGTTCGATTTTGACATGTGACATCTTTTTCTGACCGTTAGAGCCTATATAATCGAAGGGGAATCTAGGTTTGACATCTCAAAACCGAAAAGCTGATTTATTGCTCATGGATTATCAGAAATCATTCAAAGTGACACAGACACATTGGATTAACCTATGGATTAACTTCAGCATCGTTTTGATCGTTTTAATGCCATTGAAGATCACTTTTGACGAGACTACCGCATAGGTAGTCTGGCCGTTTTTAGCTAACTAGCTCCATATGTTTTGATGTGTGTTCTTGTTATTATCTCCGAGAGTTCGTATCATTGCGTGATAATGAGGGTACCCATTGATTCTGTGTCTCCTCACGATGTGTTGAGATGTGCAGTAAAGATAAATAATAAGGTTTTGTGAGTGAATTTCGGTGCAGTCATCTGTTAACATTTTTCGCTCGTTGCTAATTCGGAGGCTCAGCGTTAGCATTGTGGGGTTTTTTTGGAGAAAAAAAATTAAAATGATCAGTTAGATGAGTTTCTTCCCGTTACATGGATATAAAACATTCATAGTTTATTAAATGAACATGCCCTCAGACACTGTTTTCTGCAAGATATTGCAGGAGGCCCCCGGAACCGGGGTCTCTCGTGCTTAACAGGTTAAAGTTTGGCTGCAGCACAGTGATTGGCTGCTGGAGAATGAGGTGAATGTAATAGGTTAAAAACAACACCCGTGATGAGCTGATTATATGCAGCTGCGGAGTGAATGTATAAATACCATGGATATATGGCTAGTACCCAGTCTTCCTAAAATAACTTGTGCTGAGCTTCATATAAATAACCGGCTGCACCAAAGTTGACGTTCTTCTGACTGCAGCCATGAAGCTGACGGCTCTTCTGCTGCTTCTCACCGGTAAGACACTTTGTACCACTCTTTAAAAACTAACACTTATTGTAAATAGGCTTGTGTAAATATCTATAGTACTCTTTTATGTATTTTTTTTATTCTACTGAGGAATATTGGAGCCTCTTTCTAGCGATGGCAAAATGAAGCTTTGAATGAAGCATCGAACCACTTGGACAATTGTGTCGGAAATAGGTTCATTTCTCGAAGCTTCAGTTACAGCGACCTCTCCTGGCGAAGTGCAAGGCTGCAGTGGGTTTAACGTATCTTTGCCTTGAAAAATATTCGATGCACAAGACTGAATATCATGTTCTATTTGCAATTAAAGATTGATTATTGGGTTGTTGAGAAGAGACTAGAGAGCGCTGGAAAAAATGTTGGGAGGAGAGGGCCTTTTATCAGTTATTAAAGTTGAAAAGCAATGATTAAAATACATCCATTCCGGGCTTTGAACCAGCTGCGCGGAGGACATCGCCGCATTCGGGCCGCCGGCTCTACCCACTGGGCTATCTATTCCTTGAAATATGTAACTGTTTTTATATTACTGATTGTCTTTTTGTTCACAACTTCTCCACATTTCGAAGTGTTTCCCGAGCCAGAACGACCTATCTTTCTTCCTGGCTTGCTCTATAATTATATCAAATGCAATACCAACAACAACTCAACAGCAACAACGCAAACTAGAGATGTCCCGATCCGATCACGTGATCGGGGATCGGAGCCGATCACGTGATTTTTAAAAGATCGGGGATCGGGAATCCTTAATTATTTATTTATTTATTTAATGTTACAAAACAAAAATGACCATGTTCACGTCTTAAAGTCATCCTGAGGCCTTAGTTTTGGTTTAAAATTACACAACATCATGTGTTGCTTCTTTTGGGTTTGTTTTCAGACCTGGTTGCTTATTTCTCTCAAATCTGGCAACAGAGTGGGCGCAGTGTCTAATAGTAGCAGTAAGCTAACGAGAGGCTACGTTCAGCTGGTGACTCGGGAGTCGGGACAGAGCAAATGTCAGGAGTTTGGAAGTATTATAAAATTGAAAGCGAAGGCAGTGTAACAGCCAGATGCAATGTTTGCAAGAAGGAGGTTCCGCGTGGTGGAAAGAACAGAGCTACGTTCAACACGACCAATCTAATACGATTGTTTGTTTTTTAATTTTTTCCCCCCGTTTTTTTTTCTTATTGAAATCTCCAATATCAACGTAAGAGCTTGTGCCTCTTTGGGGGGTGCTAACACTTAACCATCAACGTTATCGTTTACTTTCTCCGTCTTTATATGTAGATATTACTTTTCTCCGTTAATCTCCGTCACGTTGTTTCCAAAGCAACAACAACTTCCTGTCAACAGCGCTACCTCTCCTTCAAAATAAAAGCATGTCCACAAATAGGAAGCCAAGGCAAATTACACTTAAGACATATACAACTGCAACGAAAGTAACAAACACAATGCGATATCCTTTTCAATTTCAAAGAACACAAATTGGGTTACATTAACAAATAACTATAAAACAACAATACTGTAGAATAACAAAATGAATGCCGTGAATACACCGAAACACACGTGTTGAAGTGGTTCGCTGCTGATTACTATTGAATTGTGTTACTCCAGTAAGATGGAAATATAATACTTTGTTTATTCATGTTATGTTGAGCCTCTGTTGTTCATTGCATTATTACTAGACTAGTTAGTCTTAAGGCTAGAATTCTGCACCAAGCCACATTTTTATTTTATTTTATTATTTGTGACTGAATGTGAACTTGTGAAGCTAGTCAAGCTACCTCTTTCCAGTAGAGTTATTTTTGTTTTGTTTCTGCACTCAATTTGTTTACATGGTTATTTTGTGGTGGACCACTGATAAGCTTTATTTTTGTTTTGATCCAATGCTGCTGTGAAAGAAGCTATATCCATGTTGGATAGAATGGATAGTTTGGTACTGTCATTTAAATAAATAAAATAACCTTAAGGGACAACTTTAATGCTTTTTACCTTTTTTTTCTCTTAATGCATTGCATAAAGATCGGATCGGGAAAAATCGGTATCGGCAGATTGTCAAAATCAAATGATCGGGAGCAAAAAAAGGTGATCGGGACATCCCTAACGCAAACTACTACAACAACCCACACATTGTGCATTGTTTAGAGCGGTCATAAAGTGTTGAAGCGCTCAAATTTGAAACTGTTTCAACCTGTCACCTGTCAGAATCGAGACGAGGCAGTGCATTGAATCGCGTGAATGGACCGCGAACCAGTGAGTTGATTCATTCAGGAAATGAAGCAGTTGTTGCTGCTTCGGACGTCACATGTCACGTGATTTGAAGCAAGCTTCGAAGCACTGCTTCTATGGAATAGGAAGTCCAGGGTTGAAGCTCAGTTCGAAGCTTCAGTGTCAAACTGCCATCACTACCTCTTTCCAAATATCCAAAACAAGATTGTAACAAGAGCATGGTAGACGCCGGCAACTGTAAAGCCCCACATTGTAGAGACACATTTGTACGTGTATTACCTTATTTTAGTGTCTTTACAATGTATTTCTACATTGTAGTGTATTGTAATGTTATAAAATAGAAAGCTGTATATTGTAATTGCACTGCACATGTAGCCCAACCATGGACACGAGTTGAACATTAGCTATAGGTAATAACTAATCGTGCAGCACCTAATTTCTTTTATTAAATAATAATTTAACAACAGTCGTTCGGCGGCACTCAATGACGTAGTATCCTTGAAATAGTGGCTCTAGAGCAGCTTTCCTCGACATTGAGAAGCACCCACACATAGCCACACACAGACTCTCACAGGAGGAGGGAAAATATCCATACACAAATGACCTAATGACCCAGGGTCATAACATCACTATATACATTAAAGTACTATTATTATGGTCTTTATTGGATCTATGTGAAATTGCATATTTCCTATCAAAAAAATAGATTAATTAAATATTTATGGATATCTGGTTTTCACATTAGTTTATTAATTTTAAAAGTCACAAAAAGGGGGGGGGGAACGTGCATTTTCGGCACAGAAAGGCATGTGTAGCCTTTGTTGGTGGAACAATTATTTAAATACAAAATGAATTCTGTATCACTGTTGTAAATCTCTTCTAAGGATAGTAATTTGTTCATCTGTGAGGGAAACTTCTGAAGCAATTGGAAACAGGACTCAGAGAGACACGAGGAGTGGCAAACACTGACTGTTTATTTGGCGCTTCGGCCGGAGAATTCACAAGACATGTCAAAGGGCCACGAGTTGACAGGTTGAGATGCCATGCCAGATCAATTCTGAAGAACTCTCCTGTAGTTCGAGGTTTGAACTAGTTTGGAGTGTAATAATCAACATTCTTCAATAGATGGACTAAACCGCTGAGGACACTGAATCAACTTTAGTTGTCGGTTATGGCTCTGGGTCATCTACACCCCGAGAAGGATGTGTTCCAGGTCCAACAATAACTATCTCGGACCGAGAGTTGCCCGGTCGGTCAAACTGGTAACCACAATGCTAGTACAGCCCCTCCCTAAGGGACATAGCGGCCGTCCATCTGCATCAGAGGGCAAATTATTTCCTGACAATCATGTGTATTTGTTTTTCTGTCTCTCGTAGCTTGTGTGGCCAGTGGCGCGCTGCTGCCCAGAGCCTTATGGCAGTTTGGGAATATGGTCAGCTGCGCTCAGCCCGGCACGAGCCCCTTGAAGTACAACAACTACGGCTGCTGGTGCGGCTTCGGGGGGAAGGGATTCCCTATAGATGAAGTGGATGCGTAAGCAAGCAGCAGCCGTTTTGTCTTCCACTCATAATTTTTATTTTAAAAAGTCATTTTGGTTAGGATTAATGTTGTTTTCTCCTTTCCTTCTGTGTTCTCAGCTGCTGTAAAGTTCATGACAACTGCTATGCATCCAGCAGAAAGGCTCCTGGATGCATGGCGTTTGCTGACCTTCCCTATGTTCTTGCTTATGATTTCACCTGCTCAAATAAGGCGTTGACCTGCTCAGGTATCAGACTAAACAACGAACACAGCGATTAGACCAAGGATGTTCAAATAATTGCCTACTGTTTTGATAAGCGAATAGTTGTTACGTGCAAAGATGTCAAAAGTAGATGTTTTCTAATAAACGCTGGTTATTTGGTTTTCTTTAAAGATATCACTTCGGACTTTCAGAATCTGAGTTGGACATTTATCTCCATCTTCTGACAAAGACCAAACAATTAACCCAACAAATAATTGACCAATTAAACTATAATTACATTATTGCAGCCCTAACTCAACTTCAGTAAGGCTCAACACTTGTTTGGATAGGACATTTGACAGTATGCAATCAGAAAATGGTGTGTGTTTGTGAGCGTGTGTGTGAAAAAACGGCTATATTTAGGTATTATACAGCTGTGGAATCCCTACACTGCAAACAAATGCCCTCCCATTTTACAGCACTTTCAGAGAGAGTCAGTGATAAAGTTTGAGTGATTGAGCGTTATGTTTTGTTATGTTTGAGAAGCTATTTGTCAGTTTCATGACTTTTTCTTTCTCTGCAGCGTTCAACAACAAGTGCCAGGCTGCGGTGTGTGAGTGCGACCGGGTGGCGGCTCACTGCTTTGCTCAGAGCACGTACAAGCCTGAGAACAAGAACCTGGACTCCAAAGTCCACTGTGTCAACTGAGTTATACAACACACAAACACCAACGCGAGAACATGTATGATTTTTTAATTATTTTATAAAGCTTTACACACAAATTGGAGTAAAAGGAGCTTGATTTTGTACAAAAGCATCAGTATGAAATAAAAAATGAATGTGAGATTCTCAGTGTGGGAACGTCAACCCCTTTCTATCCTCGTGTCCGTTTGCACTCGTATGTTGCTTATCGCATTGTTAGCGTTTCCATTTCTACAGTCAGTTTTATTTAACAATTCCAGGTGAGTTTAATTTGTAAAGCACACTAACACTTCAGCTTTCCACTTATGCATTAAGTGTTTGGTCTCTTTATCAAATACAAATCTATTGACATATCTAGGTCAATTGAGGTAAGAATGAAAATATATATATAATATCTATAAGAGAACATCCACTTGCTGCTCTATTGTCTTTTGGAGATGTTGGTTTATAGCGATACTTCGGTCTTCATAAGAAAGGAAGCTGTAGGTTGTTACTGCTAGATCATATTGACAAACATTCAGCATCAAGTTCAACTTTAAAATATTTTCCAAATTTGAGAGTACAGCATGGTAAAAGTAGATTAAGCAAATGTTTTAAATCGATATCAGGAAGGTATTTAAAAAATACAATAATCAAAGCAGCAGCTGTGAACAACAACAGATTGAGCATTTCAAAATAAGAGTCTGGATCACGGCTCTGTGGGTTATATGGGCTTGTAAAGAAGAGTGGTCACATACTTCTTCTTGTATCGGTGCGTTGCACTGAGGACCATCACCCCGTCCTAAGAGACCAGGACAACAAGGGTTTTTGAATGAGGCTTAAACACAAATTAATTGACTTTACATATAGATGTAATTGGAAATTGTATAATTGTAAAATGTGACCCACAGCAAAAACAGTTTGTATGATGGTGAGGAAATACATTATAGTTTGCTTAACAACAGAAAATAAGGGAAATCCGATATAACGTTTTAGATTCAAATTAAGATATTATAGTATACAATCACTGATTTTGGTCCTTTCAAAATAAAGTCATACACTTATTTGTTGTCCGACATTTGATGCATGTTGTATGACAAATGCTTGAAATGCAGGATCAAATATTAGGGTCTCTTTATGGTGATCAATAACATGTATATGACGGTTTGATTAAACCCCATTCTGTGTTTAATGCATCGGGAGTTCATGCATCATTTCCCCTTGGTCTTGCTGTGAGGGAGGAGGGAATCTTTCATTATATTATGCACAGACTACTTTAAAAGCAGCTTTGCATTCAGAGGTTGGGGTCACATCATGGAATTCTCTACAATATCATTTAAAGGGTTGTTTGAATATTTTTTCCAGGTAAAAATGATGGATAAAGGAAGAATAAACAGATGTGAGGAAGGTAATGCGGGTCTTTGACGGTGAATTATTATGTATTTGTATTCCTTTCCTTCTCTTGTTACTGTAGGTATTTGTTGTAAGTAACTGTGATTTACGGACCATCTATTTCAATTGTTTATTTATGTTTTAAGTCAAATGGCAGTACATTTGATTGTACTCCCTTCTAATTTTAGCTCATTGAACATTAATAAAGTTACATTTTAATTGAGGATAACTTATAAGTAATAATAATAAACACGCCACAGCAGGATTTGTTACCTTGATGGAGAGGGCATACAGGTGATTGAGCATCACGTGGTTTGGCTCTGGAAGCAGCGTCGGGTCACACTGAGGGAGATTCAGAAAGAGGAACAATTTGACTTAAATGTCCCATGTCATGCTTTTCGGGTTATTACCCGTCCCCTTGTGTGTTATGTAGCTTTTTCTGCATGTAAACGGTCTGCAGAGTCACAAACCCTCAAAGTACACCCTGTAGCGAGTAAAACTCTTAACACAGAAAATACCTGTCTATGCTGCCCCAGAACGCCTCGTTGGAGATTTTTCTTTTTCCATTTTTTTCTTCCTGAGTATAGTGACGTGACCATACCCAGGTCCAAATGGACCAATCCGTGGAGCTCCTTACACACACACACACACACACACACACACTCAGCCTTGTATTTTCTCAGCAGCAGCTCTGCGGATTTCTCAGCCTGAGACAGCGTGACACTGTGAAAGAGTTAGTGTGTGTGCTCACTGCTCAGGCTGAGTTCAGGCTGAGTTTCACGGTGTCTCGCTGTCTCGCAGACCCCACGCAGCAACCAGGAAACGATGCCAGTAAGCCAGCTCACACTGTCCGCACCTCGAGCAGCAGCGAGCCCCGCAATGTCCCGCCAACACGGCACCCAGACCCCACGCAGCATTCTCATCTGTTTGTCATTACTGGTGTCATTTTCTGGTTGCTAACAAATGCCATTGTAACACATAAACACACATCAGAGCACAGTGGGCTCATATGGAGGGGGGTGGGGGGCAGGAGCTCCAACAAGGCGTGTAGGACAGAGAGTGAATACACATACTATACAGAGATGCTGTATGAGAAAACCAATGTGATTTTGGAACAGTGTACATCTATTCTAGTAGACCTCAACAATGGAATTATGATCAGTAGAAATGGCCATGACATGAGACCTTTAATCTCAAAGTATCGTTACAAGAGAGAAACGTGTCCTTCATGGAGCGTGTACTCACAGAGATGCTTGTGTCCTTGTTGAGCAGCACCTGCAGCAGGTGGGGGGGTAAGATGGGAGGATATTTGATCTTGTCTTCGGGCTTTATCACATACGCTTCCTGTAGGTACGGGCCAGGAGGAGAACTGGACAAGTCTGGGGAAGGAGTCACACACAAAACTGATTAAACCCAGTCATAGATACAAAATAATAATATAAAATCAATTTCAATTCAACTTTATTTCCCACACATTGGTCCATTTCAGTACAAAATGATTAAAGGCGCCATCTTGTGCTTTTCTATAATGCTTCTCTGTGTGTTGTATAGGTTTTTGTGCATGTAAACGGTCTGCAAAGGCGAAAATCCCAAAGTATCCCAACAAAAAGGAGTTTCTCTCCCACACAAAAAGATGATTAAGGTAACAATAGCAATACCTTGTGTCACTTTGTGTTGGCTCAGTTATGAGAGCATTATTTAAAAACAATGATTGACACATACATTTTACATAACATTTCTCATGACAGCATACAAAAAATAGAAACAATAAAAGTCATAAACATTTGACTTGCACTTACACAATATGGAAGCTAGAACTTGATTCTGAAATATAAAAAATGGTTATCTAAATCTTAATTTAAGTATTTAATATACCTGTACTAGATCTGTGCTATATAGAGTGGAGTACATTAGCTTTAAAGAGGGCTGTTTTAAAACCATCCGACCCACTTGAAATTAACGTGCCAGCATACTAGCTTCTGCATACATTTTACAACAAATCATCATGATCTCATAGATCAATATTGATGTTGTGACCTTGATATCTTACTTTGTTCACCACATTTCGGTCTGCCATTTAACATAAAGGAAAGGTTTGCTTAGCCAGTACAAATTCATTGCTCAAGGTTTACTGCAGCAGATTAAGAGTAACACAATGTATTTGTTCTCTAATGGCATACTTTCTATATTTAAAGCAAATGAAATAACTTTTTAATAGTATCTGAACAGTCTAAAAGTAGTTATAAATGAATTTATACCTGATATATCTTCAGTGTCCTCTGAGTCGATCCTGAGGGCGTCAAAGACCTCAAAGTCAGTCGTCTTCACCTGGATGACATTATTCACTGTGCCAGTTTTAGACGTCGTCACGGCCTATAAAAAAAGAGTAATGTGATACAGACCCTTTAGATAGTGGAAAGGGCATTTCTACAAACTATTTATAATGTAGGGCTGGGCAATTTATTGATATTGTGATATGGGAAAAAGCTATCATCTTAGATTTTTGATATTGTAAGTTGTGTTTTTTCTGGTTTTGAAGGTGAAGTGATGTCATTTTCATGATCTATCTGCATTTTCTAGCAGTTCTATTATTTACCTTTACCCGCTTAGTCAATAAATCCCCATTACTCATGATTATTTATACAAAATATCATGGTGATCTATGATTTCTTCATGTTGTATTATTATATATTAAACAAAAACGCGGGCTACTTTAAAACCTCCACTCACCCCAGTAGGGTCCAGGGTCCACTGCCCGTCTACAGAGAACTTGTACTGGTGCTCTCCCTCCGGTAGATCCACAATAGCCACAAAGTTTTTTTGACTGCGTTTAAAAAGGAAACCACGTGTTATATTTCCATCATAGCAAACAAATCCAGGATTTACAAACCCTGAGTCACACTACCTCTTGTTGAGAGGGATCTTGGTGGCCCAGTTGTTGAAGGATCCCGACACAAAGACCTCCTTGGCGGCCCCCGTCCACCTGAACACAGTCGGTCTGGCCTGAGTTGGACTCTTGCTTTCGCTCTCCAGGTCGTGCTGCCAGGCCAGAAACTCCTGGATTTCCTCTGGAGCCTGGACGGCATGATATCAATGTATTTTTGCCATGTTAATAATGAGATCACATGGACCATAACAACATTTCCTCTCTGAACAGAGGCAGCTGAAGAAGCAGTTTAGTGGTGTGTGTGTTTTTAATGCTATAAAAATGTTTATTTCTTGCAAACTCTTTGATTTTCAGCTAGTTTTGTGCACAATCCTCACAAGAGATAATTGGAACGATTATGGGAACATAATTGAAAGTGGAAAAGATGTGCAGATATAAAATAGGTAGCATGGAACTGAAATCTGCAAAACACACAGAGGTCCAATGTTATAGATATTTGAAAATGTGTTATTTATTTAAAGGTTTAATAACATACAGCCAGGTTCTTACAGGTACAACACCTTTGCAGTGGTGTAAAGTAACTAAGTACATATACTCAAGTACTGTACTTAAGTACAATTGTCAGGGATTTGTACTTTACTGGTATTTAATTTGTATTCTACTTCTTCCCCACTAGTTTTCAGCAATGAAGTGTATCTGCAAAAATACTCCTCAACAATTATTTAACACCTATAGATACTTTAATTTGGATTAATGATGTGAAATATAAACACTTAAATAGGACCTTAGTTACATCTGGTGTAAAATGTACAAGCTACCCTGCAGTATAACAAGTCATTAAAACTAGCTGCACCTTTACCAGCTTTGATAAACACAACATCAATAAGTATAATAAAACATATCATATATTATTTTTGGGATGGGCCGATCTGCATAATGAGTACTTGGACTGTTGCTACTTTAAGTATATTTTGATGCTAATACTTTTGTAGTTTTACCTGAGTAACATGTATGCAGGAATTGTACTTAACAGAGTATTCCTACACTCTGGTACTTCTACTTAAGATCTGAGTACTTCTTCCACCGGTGTACCTTTGTATCTTCTCTCTGGAACAGGTCTGCGTCCTCTGAGCTGTCCATCAGGATGTTGGGACGGGCCTCCTTGCCTCCCTGCTCCCTGTCTGACCTCTCACCCTGACTCCCGGACCTGTCGCTGCTGCTGTTCCCCATCCTGCTGGCATCAGACACTGAACACACCACACACACACACACACACACACACACACACACACACACACACACACACACACACACACACACACACACACACACACACACACACACACACACACACACACACACACACACACACACACACACACACACACACCACACACACACACACACACACACACACACACCCACACACACACACACACACACACACACACACACACACACACACACACACACACACACACACACACACACAGTCAGCTGAGGAGGACCACCAGACCTGTGTCAAATGACCACTTGAAACAAATGTTAGCAGCATATATCAGCATAGCATATATGTATCTATTTATAATAATCAGACAATGCAAATACTTACCTAAATCTTAACAGATGAGGTTTGATTGCATGTATTTGATCAAACAGAGGTCTTTGGTGTCTTTGATTTCTGGTTGTAAACGCGTTTTTTGTTGATGTTCCCGTCTTTTAACGGCAGAAGTTTCCTCAACAGCATTCAGGCGGAGGTGCGTTCACGGTCCCGCAGACACAAAACGTCACTCGAGTTTTATTTGTGCTCTTCCCTTTTCCTTATTCCCTACCGTTACTTTTCCTGCTAATCTCCTGAGGTCTGCTGCTCTTTGTGTGTTTTCGCCATTTAGAGGCAACCTCGCTTTGTTGTGTGTTTAGTAGAGAAAACACACCTCTTCCGCCTCCTGTCCTCGAGCTCAGGGAGCGTTAAAGTTTAACCCGAGTGTCGCCAAAACTAGGCCTACTTGAAACATGATTTCGCAAAACAGCAAAATGGTCAGAAAGTTGGTTGTTTTTTTGTTGGTTACTTTGAAAAAAGACAGATAAGAACTGTAACTTTGAAAGCAATCATTCCAGGGGCGGACCTGGACAGGGGCAGTAGAGCATAGAGAGGCGAAGTCACGCCCATCTACTTCCGGTCCATGGGACCTTATTTTGGAAAAATTATGTATTGAAGTCAATGGAGAGAGAACAATTATCTTTCAATCCCGTTTGAATTGTGCCATGAATTACACATGATGTTTGTCATATACATGACCTCTTGCCCCCCTTTTCCACCCCATTAAAATGTTCTGGATCCCTCTGGTTTATTTCAGAATCAAGAGAAACAAAAAACATCTGTAAACACACTTAATCCTTTTAAATAAAAAATAAAAAAGGCAGCAGCTTGAATCAGTGGTTCACAAAATAAGGGGCCGCAGCTCCACTGTAAATACATATTATCAGGATAGAACAAAACAAAAAAACCTTTCCTTTACAAAATAAAATGTATTTTTTTAATTCTCCTCTTATCTTTGCTTCTGTGTCTTTTTGGATCATTTGACATCTTTAGGACTCCAAAAAATTAAATCAAAACACTTGGGCCACACCAAGATGTGCTTTGGGTAGTTTAAAAGTGTTTTGGCTTTTGGTTTTTTGATTCATAAAATGTAATGTTGTATGTAAGAGGCAGGTAAAGCTGAAGTCAGCATAGTTTCTCAGTAGGAGAGCGCCCTCCTGCCATATCACACTGATTTCTCAGAGGTGTTCTCACGGCTCTCCTGTTTCATGTGATTATAGAGCCTGCAACTGTAAACACTCATGATAAAGAGTCAGCAGTATTTCAGTGTAAGGAATGGTCACTCTTTCCCTTTTGGATTGATGATTACCAGTAATAATAATACATCTACTGACTTTTGAAGACCGTTAGCCCTTATAATTATTGTTTTGAAATACAACTCAATGTTTCTGATGTCTTCCCAATGCATTAAATGAAAATGGTGCATCATTTAAATAGATCCCTCCCCAAATGAACTATTTGGTATCTTTCGAAACCCTGTCATTTAGAATAGAATAGAATAAGTCTGTGTATCTTTGTTTAAATTGTTCTTCTTTCTTGAACAAGTGAACAGATAAGCAACAAATATATTTTATTCTACGATGTGCGGGGACCTTGGGATGTTAACAGCACAGTTACAAACAACTGTTTCCAGAAACAGGTGAACATGGTGAGGCAGAGGCAGTTCCTCAGAGGGGGGATCATCGGAGCCTCCCCATATTTCACATGGTTGGCGCTCCCATACAGCGAGGACCTCATGACCGGCCGCCGGGACATTGAGAGCGTGGAGGCGAGGCACGGGGTGAGGCACCAGGGGTGAGACACTGGGGGAGAGGAGGTGGAGGCAGTGGAGCAGTGATGATGGAAGAGAGAAATCAGCCTGCAGAGAGACTGAGGGAGTCCTGCTGGTGCTTAGAAACAGTGTCAGAAAAAAGGGGAACAAATGTAAAATATATCTAATGGGTTTTATATCGTAGAAAATATATGATTATAATTTAGTACAAATGTATATTGGTTTCTTTGAAGTATAATAATTCCTTTATTTAGTTCTCTTTTATAATGTGGAAAATTAGTATTTTAATAGAAAATGTAGTTTAGGAAACGTTTTCAATAATTTAGTAACATTTTATTTAAGTTTTAAAATTTACTTTTTTTTACAAATAAGTATTTTTTCATTGAAAAACGTGTAGTACATTTTATTTTAATTATAAATATATAAATAATTTATATACATTATTTATAATTTTGCCTCAATATGTGAGATATGTTTTATTTAGTATAGTTTGAATATATATCGAGTACACATTAAGAGCAAAAAAGTTCAAAAAGGTCAAACAGTACACATGAATGGAATGTTTTAAAATAATTTATTAGGAATTTTAAAAAGGTTTTTTTTTCAAAGGAATAAACATGACAGGAAAAAGAAAATCAAAAAATGTTACAGTGTTGACAAGATTGTTATTTTTCAGTGAAAACAGCATCAAAGTATGAACTACCGTGGTAGCCCGCAGCAGTGTGAGCGAGTGTATCAAAATGAGAAACCTGGTACTTCGTAGATCGAGAGTGCTTTGTTCTTACGCTTCTAACGTTCGAAGGAAAACACATGTATCGTGATCGGCCAGTGCAAAGTCCTAGTAGCTCTGAACATAATGGTTTTGGTCTAAAAAAAGCTGTCACATTGCTACAGTCTGTGACATCCAGTGGATATGTAGTGATTGATTTGAGGGTAGATGAATTAATTAGACCCCCCTCCTTTCCTGTAGGAAAGCCACCTTCTAAAAAGGTGCAACCATCCACACTTGATGTTAATGTAATAATACAAAAAAGTCAGATTAAAATTTCACATTTGAAACTGAGGTACCATCCGCCCCAATAAAACAGCACATGGCACATTGAAAACCAATGTGTATAAGACCATATGTCACGCAAACATCAACACAACCTGCAGAGCGGAGCAGTCATTACAGATTTCTCTCTGCTCGACCGCTCCTGCACACTACTCCTTCATTTTCCTTCACAAATAATAATCACATATTGAAAATCACAGTTAAAACAGCAATATGACAAAGTAATAAATCAGCACGTTTTAATCTCCCCTTCTGAAAGAGGAGCATTTTCACACGCATTTATCCCCAAAAAGTAAAAGTGTTGTTGCAGCCTCTCTCCTGCTGAACTCAAGGTGTTTTAACACAGATTGAAATGACACATCCTTTATAAAATGCCTGGAGAGAAATACAGTATGTGGCTGGTTTAATATTGACAAACATACTGACATGTTTTTGACCTTCATGTGAAACTATGATACGTAACAGTCAAGCTTTCCAACACATACGCTTTGATGAAAAAAGCAATCGTATTATTATTCCTCAAAAAGCCTCCCACCTCCCACAAAACAAACTTTAGCGGAGCCCCCCCCCAAACCAGAGTCGTATTTACAATATTTTACAATTGTACAGCTCATGTAGGCCTAATATGTAACTGCAACTAATGACATTTGACCATTATTAGTGAAACAAGTCTTTGTTAAAAACCTACCAAGATATACACTTTGTGACACATTTTCAAGAGATAGTATTAATCACAAATGTTTTGTTAAAATTCAGTATGAACTACTGACAAATATACAGTTTTTCCAGTACAAATGACAGATCCTGGAGATTTCTTTTTTCTCCTCTTATCTCAGATAGATCAGGTTCAAATACAACCCAATAAAACAAAACAGATAAAGAAACAACCATCACAACAACAAAAACAGTAAGTTGAAACATAAGAACAGAACAAAAAAAGACAAAAAAAGACAGCATCTGTATGTGTTGCTATTACATGAAGTGACTTTTCGCTCCTTTTATGAAGTTTTTTTCTTTTTTCCCCTCAGGAGGTGGAGTTTAGTGAGGCGTCAGCAGGGTGGCAGGCTGACACCGGGTGGAAGTTCAGTTGCTCCGCCCGATAGGGGGGCAGAGACCTGGGCAGATCAGCTCCAGAGCAGCTTCAACTCCCACCAGCTCTTTGTCTGCAGCTCTGCACCAAAAAAACACTCAAATGACTCCGAGGTCGTGCTGTGCATTACATCATTATTATACAAATATCTTGATATGAGACAGACTAGATTTCTGATCATGAAAAAAAATTCAGAAAAATGTTACCTATACCTCTATATCGAGGTATAGGGTAGACTATTGATGCTTTCTTAAAATATTTTGTTTTTAATCAAAAATGATCAGCGATGTGAATGTAAATGCTTAGTGTGGAAGGATCACTTTACTGAAATGTCCCATTTTAATTAAGAAAAAGAAAACAGTAATGCTGTATTGAGACATTCTGACAACCAAAATATAAGATGATATCTCGTCTCATATCAGAATATCGACGTTATCATATTTTATAGCCCTAAGCACTATGGCTCAATCCTACAATATCGTTGCAATACACATATCGAGATATTTGATCAGGAATATTGTGGCAATTGATTTTCTCCATATTGCCCCGCCCTAATCCCAGGTGAGTCCTCCCGATAGGGCAGTCTTATATGTTTTAAATAAGTCTTATTTGATGTAATGAGCTACACATTGATATCAGAATGGCAAAAAGAGTTTACACATCCTCTGTCCCAGACTGCAAACCAAGTGGTTTGGACCACAACTCGGAAATAAAATCTAAAGAACCTTCTGATATCTGTCTGTAGCACTAAAACATATTTGGGTTACTTGAATGCAACTACACTTTAATCATTGGGCTAATTTGAATCGTATGTACATGCTGGATTTTTGCTTTCCTGAATATGTGTCCTAATGGTTGATTGCACCTACCCTAAGCCGCTTTGGGTAAATGAAATGTAATGTAAGAACAAGATGATGACTCACGTCTCAGTGATAGCCGTTAGTGAAGGCCGTAGCGATCAAAGGGCCCTGTGGGAGCAAGAATACAAGTTTTAAAATGTTGTACTCAGACTACAGTTTCAACTTTTTTTTTTTAGGAAAATCTGAATTTACTGAAGTGAGCTGCTACAGTGTTTTGTTGAAAGAATAACTGCACACACCCGGAGTCATGACGGCACACAGCTGAGAAACACAGGTACATCAATATATGAGTTTTCATCCACTATTTCTCATGCAACTTTAGAACAAGGTCACACATTTGACAAATACAAATAAGGCACACAAATGCAAACATAGACAGACATTGATATTGGTAAAATATGCAAGTAATGTTCTTTTTTTTCACATGGTGGTAGATACAACAAAAAAAACAGTATTAATGCTGACGACAACTTTAGAGCAAATATTTTTGGGAAATAAAGGGATTAAAAGTGTATTCATCATGTTTAACCTCAGTATTGCTGCACAGCTACAGATAAATGTTAGGCTACACTAATATCATAGTATTCTACTATTTGTATTATATATATTTCAGGGGTGTTGGGATGACCTGTTTATATACAACAAAATACTCTGCTTTAATTTAGATTTGTTGGCGTTGAGCCTTTGAAAAACACCTATTTCACTTTTGTGTCTCCTGGTTGCTGCACACAAAGGGAGACAAACACCTGTATTAACAGGGTGGTTTAAAGCAATCTAGAAGCACCTACAATTGCATTTATATAAACCCAACAACAAATAATCTATCTCAGCTCTGACGTCATAAAAATCTGCATTTGATGGCACTTCATCACTTTAATCTTAACAACAACTATAGAGAAATGCCAAGAAAAGGCCAGTTTGGAAGCATTCAATGTCAACTTAAAAAAGAGAGTAAAAATGTTATTTGATTAAACCACTTTTTGTTTGAAGATGTCTTTTTTTGTTTCAAAGCTTCATTAAAAATCTTTAAAAGAAGCTTTGAATGTAAAACTAAAAAAGTAATTTTAGTATATCTTACTTCTTACTTTTACATTTAGCAAGAAAGCAAACAAGTCTATTTCCCATCATGTTAAACAATTGTCTTTAGATACTTAAATATAATATTAAAGGTGAGCAGCGACATGGCATGATGTACCAGAACTACATAATAACCTATAATATGTAATCTTATGCCCTAAACAATTTGAAAAAGGGACAGAAACGTGTCTAACACAAAGCTGGAAGTTCCTAGACTAAACATCAGAGAGGTTTTCTTGTCTTACCCCCAAACCGTGGCCGAATCCAGCGTTGGGGGCGGGGCTTGCGGCGCTGAGGTAACTGCTGACTGCCGACTCCTGACCGCTCCCATAAAGGTCGGCCATCGGCCCCGGGCTGCTCGTACCTAAAAATCCAGCTGTACGAGACGGGGTAGAGCCTAAAAGTCAAATAAAACAACTTTCAGATTTTCTTGACAGGTGTGTGTATGTAACCATCTTTTTAAATGGGAGTACATATGAACATGTAGAAAAATAGTTAATATTTTCTACTGTGCATTTTTCTATTTGATATTAGAGGAGGCTGTGGTTCAGGGGTCAAATGCGCTCATCTCCAAATCAGAGGGTCAGTGGTTTGATCCCACAGGGCACAATACAGAACCCCAGATTGCTCCTGTAGGCATGTATTATACGCTGTTAAAGTGTATGTAAGTTGCTTTGGATGAAACACCAGCTAAATAACATGTAATGTTTTATAATAACCTTATGTGTCACGACTTATTCGCTGTGTTATGTTATGTGTTATTAAAACCCAATTAGGGTTGACACAACATCAGATTTTCACGAGACCACGGCCTTATTGCGATTTTCAGTAGTGTTTCATGAAAGAAAAAATATATTTTCAAGAGGCCCCTAATTATTTGTATGTGTCCATTATTATTGCATACCTCTAACTACTGCTGCTGCCGCTGCTGCTGCTGCCATTGGTCCATATGCTGTCAGAGGAATGGCTAAAGAGACAGAGGGGCAAAGATCTGAGTTAGATGTCTTGCGGTACAAACACATAAAAACGAACTAATAACACAACTTAGTTCAGTGACCTCATTCAGATGTTGATCATAAGACAAGGTAAGATATGTATTTATCCCCAAGGAAAGTCTTGTGCCAGAGTTACAAAAGATACAATAAACATAGTTATACTAACAGTGCAGCAGAAAGGGCAGGTTAAACAATAAACTACAAGAAACAAAGATGGATAAATAATTAATGTAAAAACTGTACTGTTAGGAGTGGTGTTGTAATGTAGTGGCAGATACGTCACTGCGTTATTATTGCACATGCAAGCAGAGAGTGTTTGTTATGATGACAAAGAAAGTTGAGGTCACTGCCGCGAGGCGTTAAAGTGAAACCTTCCTCATTACTGTCAGCCCTCCTGCCTTCAGAGAGCGAGGAGGACTGTCAAACACAAACATGCAGACCGGAGAGTGAAGTGTAGCAGACTGACAACATGCTGCTTGTAAAATCCAGGGGAGGGACGGACTGACCTGTGAGCTCAGGGGGATGGGGTGAAGTCAGAAGGGGAGTCCTCTCTAAGTGGAACTCTAAAACAGAAACATCAGAGCGCTGTTGAGACACACACCAACCAAACACACACATAGAGGGAGGAAATCACCTCGACACGCCGTATGGAGAGAGCACATATTGGAATACACAAGCTTTAAGGGATGCAAACAGGAATTAAAGGATGGAAAAATGCTTTATATTCAATAAAGTGGTGTTAAAAAATCCGTATTAAATGGCAAGAAATACAGCAAATGTTACAATTGTGTCTTACAATCAACATCAATATGCAAAGCATCTACTTTTGGATTAACTGAAAGATTCATATCATACACTGCCATGCTAACATGCATACGAAACACACACACACACACACACACACACACACACACACACACACACACACACACACACACACACACACACACACACACACACACACACACACACACACACACACACACACACACACACACACACACCACACACACACACACACACACACACACACACACACACACACACACACACACACACACACACACACACACACACACACACACACACACACACACACACACACACACACACACACACACACGTTAAGCTAAGCTACTCCAGTCCTTGATATTTACAAGCAGTTTTTTGGGTTTCTATGGACACATGTCTGTATTTCCTACGTCTACTGTCAGGTCAACACAGCGAACTTTTACTTCAAAGTGCTTAATTAATCATGTTTAGGTGCTCTTGTTTTTCAGTGCTTGACAGAAAATGGGACACAATCGTGCCATGGGAATTTCAAAAATAGTTTTGAAGTAACAATGTTTTCTCTTTTCTTTGATTATATTGGATCCTCCATCACTAATTTGAACCAGATCGATAGCAAATATAAGCATGCTAACATGCTAAAGTGTGATCTTTTTAAATATTACCTGCTAGCGTGTAGCTGTTAGCATTTAACTCAAAACATCGCAGTGCCTAAAAGTGCTGGTGATGCAAGGCTGATGACTTTTTTTTTTAATGTGTGCATGGGTTTAAAAGACATGGGATGTCACTTCTAGCTTACAAGAATACGTGATTTTTAACATCAGTATTTGTTAGATTCTGCAGCAAAGAAAACAAGACATTGATGCATGTCATTTAGGATTATTTACCTACAACAAGCACAACTTCCATTCCTTTCTATACCCTTAACACAGTGTATGTATGGGTATGTATACTGTACGTTTCAAGGGACACAAGGAGGATTTCAGGCAAACTGAATCCAAATCTAGCACCTTTATGTACCTTTAAGTCTTAATAATCAACATGCACCTGCTAACTAAATATGGCTGTGTTTCTGTTTCTTAAATCATCTGATAAAAACATGTGAATGAGGAGCAGAAAATGTGTGTGTTTACCCGGATACTGGAAGGTATATCCAGGAGTGATGCCAGCGTAGCTCCGGCTGGTGTAGGTGGCCGTCTGGAAACCTGGATAACCTGAGAAAGAAAAAGAAAACACTGTTAGATATCACAACATCAAGAACTGAAAGAGAAAGAAAGAGCAACATTCAAAAAAAGTTCAGTCTGTGAACTTGTAACATTAAAACAAGACCAAAAACTGTGATCCAAGATCATAACTACTGAAAGATTGTATAGCAACTAATTAAGTATTTAAAAACGGTTAACATATCTATTGAAAGCAATGAAATGCTGAAGAGAAAGGTGCCGTTCTCAGATTGAACAGTAGGTGGTACCATGATCCTGGTTTGGGAAAGAGATATTTTTTAACAGAAAAGCCTGCTACAAACAGGAATAAGGAGGTTTGAAGGGTTGCATTATGGGAAATGTAACTACTTGTCGTCACTTGTGTGTGCCAAAATGTTATGGAAGTAGAATACTTAATTACTGATCAAAAGGAGAAAAGTAAACTTTCATAACAAAAAGATAATTTGATGGGGAAACGTATTTTAAATTCTGTCAGCAATATTTGTTTTTGTTAACATTTTAGTTTATTTTGAAGATTTAGTTGACTAAAGTATGGGACATTTTAGTTTTATCGTCGTCAAATTAACCCTTGAATATTTAAGTTATAAGAAAACTGTTGATATTAAAGGATTTATTTTAGTGGTTAGTGTCACGATCTGTCTTTATGGTGTTTTGTCTTGTCTTGTTTCATGTTTTATTTTGAAAGGTCTTCACCTCCTGTCTTGCCTGTTTCTGTCTGCGTTTTGTCTTGTTTGGATTTGTCTGTGGTGCCCTGTCGTTAGTTTCCCTGGTGTGTCTGATTACCCGATTGTGTTCACCTGTGGCCCCTGTGTTTTCTCCTCCCTCCTCACCTGTGTCTTGTTTGTGTGATTAGTCTTGTGTGTATTTAAGTTCTGGTTTTTCTGTCTGTCTTTGTCGGTTCGTCTTTTGTTGTTGACTGTGGTCACCGGTGAGTGTTCTGTCTGTCCAAGTTCTATTAAAAGTATATCAGTTTAATCTGCATTTGGGTCCTGCTTCCTTCGCTCTACTGTGACAGTTAGATTATATGGAACTTTTCAGTTTATCTTAGTTATTGAAACAAATATTTTGAAGAACATATTTTGTTTTATTGATATTAACCCTGCTCTAATGTATCCAACTACTGACTAGTTTCAATATAGTATGTTTAGCAGGAAGTAATTACAACTATAAATCACTACGTATATCAGTTTTTAGGAAGCAGTAGGCTTTTTATTTCTACGTCACTGAGGTCTTAATAATCGGGGCTGCATGGCGGAGGGTGGGAGCGGTCAGCTTCCCCCCCATGAGGCCCCGTGTGACCTTTGAGACAGCTGCGGCCTTAGTGCAGGAATACTTATTGTCATGTCATGCATGCAGCCGCTCATCTTTCCTGTGACGATCAATACTAGCTTACCTAGCATACCGATGCCCAACATGAAGGCGTCCATCCCATAGGGCATCACACGAGAGCGCCCCCTGGCTGAGCCCGTGGGAGACATCACCTCCTTGGGCTGAGCTTTCTTACACTCCACCTGTTTCCAAACAAAAACAGAAATCAGTGCCTCTAGCATCTACACAATATGGTGCTATTAGAGTGCTTGTTCTTGTAATATGCTAACCATTTTGTTGTTGATCTCATGGAAGTGGATCTCGCAGACTTTCTCGACCACATCCTCGTTTTCAAACGTCACAAATCCGAACCCTAGCGAGGAAAATATAATATGGTGAAGCAGAAAATCAAACATTACGATACATTTGATTGAATACCTCTACCTACATATTGTTCAGTTGACTATTGGGGCCTTCACAAAATATTTACACAATGAAATTCTTGATACATAATCTTATGTGAATATATTGTCCAAATAACTAATAATAGAACAGCTAGCACAGTATGGGCAGCTAAATCAGTTTACTGAAATGCATGTCATTTAAAATCAGGGAAAGATACTAATGCGACCTAATGATATAAAAAAATCCAAGGTTATGGCAAGTTTATTTATAAAGCTCATCTCAGACACAAGGGCAATTAAGAGTTCATTTTAAAAGCACTAACACACAAAACAAATGAAATGGTTAAAAAAAAGAGAGTTTTAAAACAACATTGGAAATACGGCAGATTTTGCAAGAAGTGCAGAAGTATAGCAGTGAAATGTCTTTAAAGGACTTCAGAAAAGCAGTAGGGGAAGTTGGGGCAGATTTCAGATGCTTTAGAGGTGTATTCTAGATTTGTGGAGCATAGAAGCTGAAAGCTGCTTCCACATGTTTGTTTATAAACCCTCGGGACAATGACAATATCTAATCTCAAATACATTGCACTTCCAGAGTTTATTAGTAAGAGAACTTGACTCAGTACAGTGGATTTAGACAGTAGGGCCTTTCTGTGCAGCAGTACAGCTAATAGTCTCTAGTAATCAGCGCTTTAATAGCCGCTTAACACGTTAGCCCCCCTTTACCCTATTTCAATTCTGCTACTCTGCACTCATCCTTGCTTCCTCCCCTTCCTGGCCAGAAGGCCGGGGCAAAGCTGGTAGGCTGTCATAATCGATCAGTCCCAGGGTGGGGAGGAGGTGCTTAAGGAGGCTTTATCCTGATCCAGATTAACCGACTGGCTAATTAGACTAGCCCCGTTCCTCTCCTCCAGCTCAGCCCACAGGAAGGAGGCCTGCAGGGGGTGGAGGGGGATCAATATATACCCTGGAAGGACTGGAGGAAGAGGAGCAAATCGACGAAGAGAGAAGGAAAGACGCAGGTAACAGGAAGTCGGGTCCCCCTGACTCACCTCTGTGTCTGTTGGTGGTCTTGTCGAACATGAGCATGGCATCGTCGACCTGAGGGGAGACAAACAACAGTTTTTTTTAAAAAGCGGCACTCTGTCTCTTTCCACGCGACATATTGCCTGACCTCAGCCCTTCTCAAGTTCTACAGGGAGGCTCAGCAACAGATGGACAGAAAGGAGGGGGAGGAGGAAGGGAGGGGGCTGAGCGACAGGTTACAAGGAGGAGGGAAATATGAAGAAATACTGCAAGCCCTGCAGCTGTATAAGACTAACAGACATAATGGGTGGTATGAAAAGTTGGAAATTGTGTTTGCTGCCCTGGTCAAAATCCCTCTCACGGAGAGCCTTTCTCCAACTCCAAAGTTTGACATTCCCATGGCAACTGTACAAAAAGTCGATATAAAAGAGCCAACATCAAATATGCTTTATGAATAGTGGGAGAGTGCCAGTGAGACAAAGAGTGCCGCAAAGAGAGAAAAGGCACAGAAAAAGAAAAAAAGGAGCCAGTCACGAGCGGGAAGGTGAATCCTGTGTGGGCAGGTGGAGACTCAATGAGAGGGGAGAGCTGATAGCGAGAGGAATAGCGACAGGTGGAGATATGGTGAAAGAGAGAGCACAGAGAGTCCTGTAAGAGAGGAGAGGAGGAAAAAAAAAAAGATTGGGTCAAAGTGGAAAGGGAGGAGAAAGAAGAGAGACAAAAGAAGGGGGAGAACAAAGAGGCCTGCAGGCTTTGTTTGTTGGCACAGTCAGCCATAATTCCTCCTCCTCTTCTCCCTTTGACCTCTCCCTCCGGCCCAGCCTCCCTTTATAGAGCGAAGACACAGGTGTCTATTCCTCACACACACACACAGTTTCTTATGTCAAAGTTGACCTACTATCAGCAGTTATTTTTTTCTCTTCTCCCCCCCTCTCTCTTGTAAAAAGCTGACATGTTTATGCTCCAGTCCGCACACAGAGGTCCCGAAAAAACATTTGGTAAATTAATCTGTGCTCTCGGTCTATAATAAGTTTACTGGATATAGTCCACTGAATAATTTGTCATAGTAGCAGAGCGTGAGTGTGCGAGTGTGGACCCCCTCGGGCAGTTTTCCTACAGAAAGGTCAAAGGTGAGTGAGGAGTGTCAGTGTGAAAGGGGACCTGTTACTCTGATGCCTCTCAAGTAAGTCACTGCTTCCTCCGAGACTGACATTTGAACAAGACCTGCAAAATGGTCGGCTCTATCTCTGCAGAAACGCGATTTAAAACGTTCTAAGGTTGCCACATGTTTAAACAAGCAATTGTAAGGAGCAAAAGTGAAGAATGCACTTTGTGATTCATGCTAGAGATTTAAATTTGAGCTGACAGAGGAAACTCAATCCCATCGTGAACAACCTATCCCCCTGGAGGATGCAATCAAAACATCTCAACAACGCCCGTGGTTTGCATTAAACACTGCGCATTGAGTTAATTGCACATCATTGGTTGATATTTCAAACACTGGGACAATACCGCCAGACAATATTCCCTCTTATCCTTTTTTTTCCCACCTCTCATCTTCCCTGTTATCCCCTGCCCATCCCTCTCCACGCTCCTTTGTCCTCCCCAGGACGGGACACAAAAGGTCCAGTGAGGCAGTCTAATCAGGAACTTCCATGGATGGCTGGAGCCCACATTTCACCGTCCATCCCTCGATATCTCTCTCGGCAAAATTCATCTAGACGTTATGATTGAGGAGGGAGCACGGGGAAACTCGAGGCCAAATCTTTGGCACTGAAAATAAAGTGTCACAGCAGTCGGAAACGCGGCGGCTAAAACTGAACCTTATCGTTTGACTTTGAAAAGTTTCAAAGGCTCGAGGTGAAGATTGTCCACCTGCGTTATACTGTAAAACGTTTTAGGATGTATTTATATGTATCATTTGTTTCCTACAAGATCAACCAAACCTCACTTGTAGAGTGCAAAGAATAATCATTATGGTTGTGAACTATTAAATTATACTGCAACTTTGTTTTGAGAATCTAGTAGTAGTTTACATAATAATAATAATAATAAAAAAAGGCTAAATATGGTTTACTGTTCTATTACAGAATATTCACATACTAATAAGTTGTGAACAAAACAACACATTCAATTAAGTCGTTGCGGGGTTTGGAGAATCAATTATCAGTTAAAATGTTTTTTTAAGAACCAGAAAAGTCAAAATTCTCTGATTTCAACTTGTTAAATGTATTTGTTCCTGTCTATTTACTCCTATATGACAGTTATGTGAATATACTTAAGATGTGGGCATAAAAACCCATTTGATAATGCTACTAGGGCTTGGAAAAACACCTGTTTCTGATATTTTATAAACCAAGAAACTAACCAGTTAATCGACAATATAAATAGTATTTAGGTGCAGCACTACTCCCCTTGCACACATATTATCATTGATGTTTATTTTTACGTTTAAAGACACATTTAGGAGCATGTGAACAATCCAGAAACTTCCAGTATGCAGATAACTTCTGAACAAACTAACAAAATATTTGCCCAGCTTTGTATAGAGGCATAATGGCCCCCGTAACCCCCCTCCCTCAAAACCACATCTTTGCCCCAGTTCCCTCTCGTATGCCTCCGCAAGCCTCTCTCAATCAGGCCTCCCTTGCATGTCGGAGCCTTTGTCAGCCCATCATCTATTCTCTGCCTCAAAAACTTGGAAAAAAAACTTTATTTAGAAATAAAATAAAAAAACATAAAATGCATGAAGATGAGATGAAGGAGTTTGCAGGTTTTGGAGCTTAAGTCGCAGTTATTGGGGGTGAGTTGGACCCCCACCCGACACACACACACACACACACACACACACACACACACACACACACACACACACACACACACACACACACACACACACACACACACACACACACACACACACACACACACACACACACACACCACACACACACACACACACACACACACACACACACACACACACACACACACACACACACACACACACACACACACACACACACACACACACACACACACACACACACACACACACACACACACACACACACACACTCGTGCTAACACCCCCAAACACCACCTCATCCCTCCTCCTTCAGAACAAAAACCCCTTACCCGCAGAATTACTCGGGGACAATGGGCAAGCCGGGTCACCACGGTAACAGGCCAGGAGGGGGTTGTGGGTAGGAGCAGCTGTTACATCAGATTAATTCAGATTCTGATAATCCCTCCTCCTTCCTCACCATCACCACACACTCACTACAAAACTTTTCTTCCCCCCTCCCCTCTCGTCCCCCTAACTTCGCCTGCTGCTCCCGGAGCCTCTCAGCCTCGTTATTTTTCCCTTCCCTCTCCAAGCCGCCTCCTCCTCCTCCTCCTCCTCCTCCTCCTCCTCCTCCTCCTCCTCCTCCTCCTCCTCCTCCTCGCAGTAACCCCTTCACTTCAAGGCGGTCGCCCGACTACAAAGTTTTTCTCAGAGAATTTCTGTTGAATAACTCGCTTGAGCCGGTGGGATGTGGTACCATTTTGTGTGTTTCTAAGCTGTTTGTTTGTAATTGTCTGTTATAACCAGACAAACATTATCCTCATCCACTCGGATCAATATTGCTCTTCTTTCCCACCGCAGTGTGACAGTTTTACCTCAGTTTTACCTCTTCTAAACATCACTCACCTTCCCAAACTGGTCGAAGTACTGTTTCACGTCCTCGATGGTCGTGTTCACGGACAGACCGCCCACAAAGATCTTCTTGGTTCGAGTCACTAACTGTAAGAGGAAAGGCACACATTTTACATTTGTTTTCCTACTGTATTCTAGTTTTTACATTTTTGGTTTAATAATATATCTACTAGGATAGAAGCTCAAAATGGTCTGAAATGTGATTTATATCCTTAAAGACACTGTAAATTATACACAGTTGTAAGTCACTCTCATGGGGGTGAAACAATCAATTAAATAATCAGAAACTATTTCTATAATGGATTAATGATAGAAGTATTTGTTTATGCAAAACTTGAGAACATTTTGTTTTCAGCCTTAAATATGGAAACATCCTGCTTTTCTCTTTTTGTTTAACACTGAACAGAATATCTTTGGGTGTTGCACTGACAAAAAAGATGCCAACTTGGATTTGAAAAACTGGAATTGACTTTTTGACATTTTATCGATCAAATGATTTATTGGTATATGAATGGATAATGAACATCATTGTTGGTTATAACCCTACAGAACACTACTATAATACTTTGGAATAAATATGTTGTATTATAAGTGTCAAATGTCTATGACTCAGTGACACAGTAGTGCTCACTGTTGCTGTCATTTTTACTACACTTCAACAACACTGCCCCCAGAAGTACAAAAGTCATTATCTCCTCGTTAGAACCTCGCTTAGATGAGGAAAAACGTCACCTTATTAGCTATAATTCAATAAAGGGTGCTATAGAAGCTTTATTACTTTTGATTAATTTTGTTTTATTATGAATTAAGTTTGTTTTCAAAGGAGATGCTTGAAAAAAAATCCTAAAAGTTTTTCAATGATTGTAATTATGTTTAATATAAAACAGACACATTGAATGATTACACGTGTCACTTCATTTTTTTTAAATCAGGAATCAATAAGGATATCGCTTAGAATTTCGGACCAATAAGAAGTATCAATAATTGGCATTGATGACAATTAATCACATCCCATCCTTATGCACTAGCTGTATTGCTTCAAGCTGTAAGATATCCTTTTTTATTTCACACTGTTATTGTTGTTATTGGAGACAAAACAGACGAAGATCACTTGAAACAGTGTACTTGAAACATAATACAGATGTTTGAAAAATAATCAGTGTCTCTTTAAAGTTGTGAATGTTTTACACAACGGTTTAGTGATTCGTGTTCAGATTACGAGGCATATTAGCCTACAAGAGATTGAAATGAAACTAGCTAAAACAAGAAGAATCTTTCCTAGACTCACCTTGGGCTGAGCTCTGCGAGGGAAAGCCACCTTTGGGTCGATCTGCGGGGAGAATACAGAGAAAGAGAGGACGGGTTAGTGTTGTTTCATGATAGAGAAGCCTTCCTTCGGTGTGATCAAACATCACACACTCATCTTTCATTCTTTAACATCTCAATAATGAAGGTGTCCTATATCCATGCTATCCTCCTCCTAGCCTCGCACCAATCCTAAATCAAAGCAACAGGATTTCTGCAGGTTTAGAAAACGTCAATTTAAGCGAACAAATAGTAAATATTTCACAGTAATACTGGCATAAATGAAAATTAGTTTACAACCAGTTCAATAATACTTTCATTAGGGACAGATTAACATGTCACTATCACATTGAACAATACAGTATACTGTTCCAGTAAATGCACCTGCTAAACCAGTGGCTGGCTGCTTTGGTACCGAAACAAAAACACTTTTGATCATAACATGTACATTTGAAACTTTTTAAGGACCCACAGAAACCCTGCAGCACCGATGTTACGATGTTCAGGCCTTGTTGCGCTGGAAAACAGAATGACACCACTTTTTATTGTGAACGAAAATCTGAAGGACATCAAATCCACAGTCTATTCTCCATCGGATAAAGAATTTGAAAACCTATTGTGTGTGTGCATCAATCTGAATGTGTGCACTATCCCCCCCCGAGATTATTTATAAGTATGCTTGCTTTGTGTTTGTAGTTCAGTATATGAACGAAGTAAGAAATGGACATGTAAACCTGTGTGTGTGCGGTGTGTGTGTGTGTGTGTGTGTGTGTGTGGTGTGTGTGTGTGCGCGCGTGCGTGTATGTGTGTGCGGTGTGTGTGTGTGTGTTGCAGTTGTGCTCAGGTGGAAGGCCTGGGAATGTCCAGTGGACCTCTGCCTCTCTCGTCACCACCGTGTGACATGTGATCTCCTGGAATCTCACACGGCCTCTACAATCACAAACACGCCTCACCTCGTGGGGGAGAGCCCCGCGCGAGAGAGAGGACAAGCGTGTCCGAAAGAGAGGGAGAGGACCGAGGAGGGAGACAGAGGAGAGAGGGAGCTGTCAATCGAACCACACTGACAGCAAGATTCACCCACATTTTGTTTGTTTGTGTTTGTTTGTTTTTGCCTCCCTCTGAAGTTTTGAACAACAGGGATCATTCATCCTCCTGCACGCTTTCAGGTGATCCGGATCGTCCTCTGCCCTGCTGCTGCTCCTTACGTTTACACCCAGGAAAAAACACTTTTTGATATTAATCCTAACACCAGAGGTGGGAGTATGTCATGCACGTGCAAGTCACAGGCGGGTCATGAATCCTAACCTCACAGTCTCAAGCCCCAAGTCCTAAGTTAGTGGTGAGAAGTCAAATCTCTGCTGTAACTCAAGCAAGACAAGTCAAAGCAAATTCAATTCTGATGATCTACCACAATTTATAACCGTCCAAAAGTCAATGTAATAAAACTTAATTAAATAATTTCTATGTAGAAAAAGTTAAAGGGAAGCTTGGCATACATAAAACACCATGCATCAATTGTAAATTAGCTCACATTTTATATAAAATTCTGGACTATGCTTGTCAACCTTGTTCTAGATATAAAGGGTTGTGAATCTTTTGGTGTCTCACAAATAGATGTTTATTTTTTCAATTGATTCACATTACATAGAGAAAATTGGTAGGCTCAGACAGGCTGCCTTTTCTTTTCGAAGAAACAACTCTCAAAATAATGCTTTGACTTGATGTGCAGGGTCTATCATTAGCAATATCTAGGCTATTTTGGAGAAAAATAAATGGATGTTTGGAAGTTTAGAAATGATTTAAAATCGTAGAGAAGATAAGAATCTCGATTATTTCATGAATCTATTTTATCCCTAACCTCTACCTGTAAGGTGGACAGTGCAGTACACTGGATATCACCCAATCTGTCTCAAGTCCTAAATACAAAATCAAAGTCAAGTCGGGTCTTTTTGTCAGGGTCAAGTAAGCCTCAAGTCCTCAAATGTGCTGCTTAAGTCTGACTTGGGTTTGGATCGTTAGGCTCTAGTCCCCCACCTCTACCTAACACTACAACCACATGATCAAAAAAACAATTTAAACACAACGTGGTGGAGCCCACTGAATGTCACCACGGTTATGATTGGAGAGAGACCCACACAATGCCATGAGGATGCAATCATAGACAGGCTGTAAAACTGGAATTTGAGACCTCTATATTAGTCTATGCTGGTCTAATAGAGCTAGAAAACAACTAGACTACACTGTACTGCTGTTACACTAACAGATGGTGAGACAGTACAGCGCTAAGATTAGTCCGTAACCATGAGAGGGTAGAGTTGAACTACAGTAGAGAGCTAGAGAGCCTCTATGGTAAACAACATGCGTTTACCAGACACAAAAGTTGACATCACCACAAGCTTTGCCTTTTTTTTCTTCCTTCTTTTGTTCTAGAGAGCAGAGTGAGAAGACTATAGGCTAAGACTGGAGGATCAGATGCAGAGTCTACTGTTTAGTGTCTATGGTGGCTAGACTACTCTGATAGTCACCTCCGGTCACCAACCCTCCTGATGTCCAACACTCCTGTGCACATTCAAAAACAAACAAGACACACACACAAACAAACAAAATCAAACACATGGCAGCACATCCGTGGGGAGGAAATTGTGGACGTTATACAGGTAAAGTGTTTCGTGAAGGAAAAAAAAGGTTGATCATAGCAAAGTAAAGTTTTTAAAGTCCCGCTCCACTCCAAAACATTTTCTTTACCCGGATGTTTGAGCTTCACTGTGCAGGGTTTGACACTATAAGGCTGTTTGAGGGGGAAGTCTTTGTACTTACCTAAAACCTGAGTTTAAAGGAGTACTTCGCCCCCCAAATGACTATTTGCATTAAAAAAATTCATGAAGCAAGCTATCATTCTCTTAAGTGGATTCATGGCGGATGAAGAAAATAAAAAAATATATATAGAGATTTGAAAGAGTTGAAGAATTTAAGTAAAACTACAAATGTAATACTATTCAAAAATGTCGTGCAACTCTTGCAGTACAATCCAAGTCCCATTTATGAAGTTGTATGCTCACTACTTCCAAAACACATGAAGTGTAGTACTGTTTATAGGATTATACTGTTGTGTGAAAGTTGAAACCGTTTTTTAAATATAATTCACTGCCACTATTTACTTAAATGTTTTTGTTGAGCATTTAGGCATGGAAAAAGGCACATTTTTGGGAATAATTCAAGGTAACACGGGTCAAGTAGTCGTAGTCATAACATCGTAATTTTGTAGATGAAGTATTCCTTTAAAAACGTTATTGACATGCATGATTTGTGACTAGTCTGGCAGCCAATCGCTGCACAGTCTGCAAGTTGTGACGTGGAAAATCAAAACAAAAATTTGTTATTTTGTGAAGTGTGATACATATTGTGTCCAGCATTACACTAAATTATATTCGTAGCTTCTAGATTTTAAAGTGAGGGAGAAGCAGTAGCTATTATTATGGGGATTTTAAATGAGGTTGTTCATTTTTTGTAGGAGAACCATCAGACACAATAAATAATTTCTAAGCATTTTCTATGTCATAAAAGATGTCTGGAGGGTTTTTTTTAACATAAAAAAACAACCTTTCTCCTATATGAAGACAGGTGAAGTCGCTACAAGGTGTCAGTGGCCTGACCCCGCTGTACTCACAGCAAGGTAACAGAGAAGAGGCTGAACGTAATTCCAAGAGAGGTTTAGGAAATCAGGGCAATCCCCTTTTGAGCAACTGCATCCCAGCTATGCAACAGTTGGTCGAGCGCGCTGCCTGTCACAGCCTGAGCTGGCAACACACTTAACGAAACACGCCGATTGGGCCGCACTCAACATCTCTGAGGAACAACTCAAGCTTGTTGACTCCAATCCTATTAGTTAGGAGAGCCATACTAATCACCAATGGGGTTATTCTGCATTCCCCCCTCTTTCCAGGTCAGCATGGAAATGGTTAACGGGAGCCTGATGCAACTCGGCAAAGAGCTGAGTGACTTTGTTGTTAGCCTCTCTGCCGTGCACCTTGGAGCTGCGATTGAATGGAAACTTTGTCCCACAAAAGGTGCAGTTAGCATCGGCCGTCACTAACTTTACAGATAGCAGGAAGCCGGGTGGGCTCCCAAAAGGGCAGTTACGTAAATCACAGTAAAATCCACTGGTCAAAACCAGGAGAATCTGTCCTGCAACACAATAAGAACTAATAAATTCCTCTGCAGCACTGTATTTGCTCTTTAGCCTCTGGGCCGTGCAAAGCTCTGTTAATTCCAGTGCCGGAGAGGTTCAGTCGGTCACAGCATGGCACATTCTTTCTGTTGCCACTGGAGAACTTTTCTCTCCCTCTCTAACAGGATAACCTGTTAGCATGAGAGAGAAGGGAGAGGGAGAGGGGGCAGGGTGAGCCGTCTAAAAAGGCCTACTCTACTCACCATCCAACCCCTGTGGCTGATCACTGAGCCCTCTCCATGCCAAACACACACTCTCTGAGGCTGCCCCCACCAAAAAATACCACAGACACACACAACCAGCCACAAGGGGCCCTGCCACGGCCCACGAGGCTGCGCACATTTAACACAACTTAAGAGGAGGAAACTCAAATTAAAAAAGAGGGGAATCGGCATCTCTTGAGTATAAACGTTATAAGTTTCCCATCAATAGAGGCAGCGTGAGGATAAACTGTCAGTATCATGGCCTCCACTTACTGTGCTATGATTTCTTTAGTGCCCCAGAAATGATTGTAAACGATGTGCATTGTTATCTTCCTTTTTTCTTTTGTGACAGAGCCATTCTTCAACTGTGAAGGGTATGTTGGAGGGGGGGGGGTCACTATGGAAACAAACCCCATGGCGAGTTAGTGGCGTCCAACCATGATGCCGCTACTTGTCATAGCTGTTGTGCCTGTAAGTGACACTATAGCAGTATGGCTCTGGGGAAACCAACAAAAAACAAACACACAGATTCAGTTCGTCTTCTCTTTTCTAACCTCTCCTAATTTTCGATCTATAATAATTTCCTTTAATTTCTACAGCAAACATACTGCTTTTTTATCTCCCTCTCCATTTCCAGCACTTATCCTCCAAAGATCTGGAGGAAGGTGCATCGTGCAGAGCACAAAAGGGGAAAGAAGAAATAGCTTCCCCTCATTTCAATACAGTGACTAACCAGCGGCCATCACCACTCCCACAGAGGAGAGAGAGAGGCGGGGGCAGTTGGTCCCTATGGCGACCAACGGGCCACATTGTTCCCGACCGGCCCACATTCATTACTGACAAAAAGACACACACACACACACACACACACACACACACACACACACACACACACACACACACACACACACACACACACACACACACACACACACACACCACACCACACACACACACACACACACACACACACACACACACACACACACACACACACACACACACACACACACACACACACACACACACACACACACACACACACACACACACACACACACACACACACACACACACACACACACACACACACACACACACCCACACACACACACACACACACACACACACACACACACACAAGCAATTAATGCATTTTAAAGTTACATTCACATAGGTGAAAAGGCCTGGCTTCATCATCGCTACAGTTGTATTCTTCCTGAGGATCAACAGGAAACTGCTTTCACAATTCACACCTTGATGGTTTCAGGTTGCTTTTGCTCCATTTAGAAACTTTTCTTTTTCCTGGGGGTCAATTCTATCCCTTGGGACCGTTAAAAAAAAAGCAGAAAGGAAGTTTGAGTTCCTAGAGAATAAATCAAAGAGTGGCACTGAGAGCAATCCTGTCCCGCTCCCCTCTTGTTTTTATGGAAATTGACACTGGGTGACATTTTCTTCCCCTGCAGAGCAAACTCTTCCATGTGTCTCGTCTGTCGACCGCTGACTACGCTGAATCACGTAAAGTGCTCATATCTGAGGTGCAGCAGCGGACATGGTTTGAGAAAAACATTGGTGTAGTGGAACCTTAGTAAACATACAAGCAATGGAAAATCCACTAATTAAACACTGAGCAATGGGATTAGCTGGTGGTGGGAAGTAAATACAGATAACTCACTGTTTTTGAGTCCAACTCGTGCCTGGTTTGGGCCAAAACTTTATCCACACCGGCCTGATCAACAAAGGTGACGAATCCAAACCCTCTGCAGACACCAGGGGCGGAGGGGGGGTATTAATGACAGAGGAACCGATGTTGACATGTAATGATACGTTATGATGAGCAGAGAGGAATCACGGAGGTCAGATAACTTTCAGCCGCACAGCTCTCTCACCTCGAGCGCTTAGTAACTGGATCTCGCATCACCATACACTCCTTCACCTCGCCGTACTTGCAGAAGTACTCCTTCAGACCCTCTGAGAAACCAAAAACGGTGGGGAGAAGACATGTGAATTTATAGAACAAGAAGTTAAAAGGAAATGCAAAGTTTTTGATGAAGATTTACACCGTACAACGTTTTCACTCTGCTGAGATTTCCCACACGAAAGTTCATACATTTTTCAATCAGACTTAAAATGATAAAGACTGATTTTTTTTTAAAAGTTAATAATAATTATAATTTAAACTCCTTATTACAAGCCAAATATTCAAATTCAGCCTTTGTAATTATCTTTTTAAGAATCACTCATTCATTCTATGGTAGTTCTCAATGGGTGCATTCATTCTGGTGCAGGATCCAAATTAAAAACTTTTTTTTAAAAGTAAAAGAACTAGAAAACAAATAAACAAATTCAATGTACCAAGCAGGACTATTAAGAAATACAGCTTCTCAAATAACTTTCTTTTAGTTCCATCCAACCCATGCCAGGATTTTTGAAGACATAGTGGCATTTTGTTAGAGCTAGCAACTGGTGGAAAAAAAGATTTACCTTGTGTTGTTTGCCAGCTGAGTCCACCTATGAACATTTTGCTGTGGAAAAAAGAAAATAAATCGTATTTGCATATTCGTTAGTGGGGTCTAAAAGAGAAGAGTATACACACTAAGACAAACTTGTTAAAGAGGTTTTGAAAGTAATCCTGAAGGTAATTTGAGAGTGTATCATCTCTGATTTTGCATGAAGGCGCTCTGTGTGGAGGTGTGGAGGTGTGTGTGTGTGTGTGTGTATGTGGGTGCGTGTGGGTGTGTACGTGTGTTTGTGGGTGCGTGTGTGTATATACGTGTGTTTGTGGGTGCGTGTATTTGTGTGTGTGTGTGTGTGTGTGGGTGCAGACCAAAGTCCCTCTACAGAATACCCAATTTAAGTTTTGTTTTTTTAAAGTTAGTTTACTAGTTACCAGGGGTCGTGGGGGGAGTCCGTGCTGGACAGGCTGCTCTGGCTCCCTTCCGTCTCCATTGCGTGTCCGTGTGTTGTGCGTAAGTGCTGCCTGCGTGTGTCCGAGCCGAGCCGTGCGGGGGAACAGGCGGAGAGTGAGTGAGGGACGATGGGGCGGGTTTGGCCCGGGGTGACAGAGAGGGGAGCGGGCCAGATGCAGGCTGGGACAGACTCCTCCTCCTCCAGTCAATCGGTGCCGCTGCTGTCGCTCCCTCATCCCGACACAGCGCGAGCAAGATGCAGCTAGAAAGCACCGCTTCCGGTGTAGCCTTTCAAAAATAAAACCTGGAGGAAGGTATTCCACAGGAGCTAAAGCAGTCTTACCAGCTATTTACTATACAGAGAAAATACATTGTATCAGTACTACATAATGATAATACAGAGGGACAATTATCTAACCTGTTCAAAAAGTGTGAAAGAATATTATATTGTGTTGTGATTTGCACACATGCATGTAGATTGCATATAGCCTTCAACAAGTAAAATGACACTAAGAGTTTAGGAAAGTAAAACGTTGTGCAGGAGGTAAGAAGCCTTATAAACATATAGCCCCTACTAAATAACAAATACATTGTTAATTGATAAATGAAAGAAAAATGATCAAAATTGTTATTAAAGTGTGGATCATTTATCAGGTTTTAAGGCAAAACCAAAATACAATATTGAAATACATTTGGAATTTTACCAGTTGGAATTCATTAATAAAATATTGGTATTTAATAAATGTTTATGTTTAGATGTTTATAAAAAGTGACAGGCAGTCCTGCATACACTGACTTGCATGGGCATGAATGCATGCAGAATTAAAACTTTTTTATTCTGTTGCTAAAATATTTAAGTTAGCCAAATGAGGTCCAATAAAATCGGCTATTGATAACTGATTAGCTGAAATTTGGGAACCAATTGTCACAATGGCACAATATATGGTATCAGACCAATGCTCATGAGCTTACAATGAAATGAACAGTTGTTGCCGTTTTAAATGTGCTGGTCCTATACTCTTTACTTTAAGCCATGCAACCTTGCTGCATACTTAACAAATAAGAATGTCTTACATTGACAGTGTTTTGAGTGGCTTTTTAGAACAGGGAATGCACTAAGTGCCTTTTCAAACTACATTCGAGTTGAAAATGACCAGCTTTAATCAAGGCACAATCTGGGTAAGTCATTTCAGAAATATATACATTCGATCAGATCCAAAGCATAGCCTTTTTAAGTAATTTAACCTAATAATATATATTTTTAGAATAGCGTAATAAAACAATAATAAACCACTTTTCTTTTTACAAACAGCTAATTAATTCAGAGTAAACACACTAACAAACATCTATGTAATGTCATATCGGATCATGACAACAAAAATATCATAAGAAATGAAAACAATACCTCAATACGAACACCCAAATTAACAACAAATGACCGGATTGGCCCAAATGGACTAATCCGCGGAGCACCTCACACACCAGGATCCCTTGGCTGGTAAACGCTGGTAATAGACGAGTTGGGATCGCGGAGAAATGCTCTCCCCAGACACATTCTCGCAGCGTTATAAACCTTTTTCTTACTCAATATCAAGCCACACTTATTGTTTTTACTTCGGATGTGAGTGTTTGTGCTCAGGATGAGTTTAGCTTGTTCTCGCTGTATCGCCGACCCGGAAACCTGTCCGCTCCTCGCAGCAGCAGTGAGCAGCAACGAGCCTCGCAACGTCCCGATCAATCAGAGCACACTGGGCTCACAGGGAGGGGGTGGCAGGAGCTCCAACAAGCCGTTTAGGACAGAGAGTGAATACCTGGTGAATACACATACAGAGATGCTGTATGAGAAACCAATGTGATTTTGGAAAATTGCACAATATAAATATATTCTAGTAGACCTCAACAATGGAAATATGATCAGTAGAAATGGCCATGACATGGGACCTTTAAGCGACAAACATTAAGCCTTTATTATGAAGGCAGAACTTCCTGTCCCATATCGCCAATGTTGACTAACTTGACACAATGTCCGTCGTCCTAGTTTGGATAAAGTGTTAACAAGCACACTTTACAATTCCAAAAATACAATTTGTATTTGTATTTATTTATAGAAGGACCATGCATACAAAAACATTAATCTCAGCAAAGAGAAGAGATGCAATATGCCTGATTATAGCCAATAGCTCATTTCCATCTGTGGTCCTCAGACAGGTTCATAACAATCAATAAACAAATAATAACATTGCATGATCTCTATCAGTCAAACAATTTTAAAACCTGATATAAGTACAGCTCAATAAATTAATACATAGTACACTTGAAATACACTTACATGATCTCGGTCACTCAAATAATTACAAAGCCTGATTTAAATTCAGGTTACGAACATAATACTTAGTCCACTTCAAATACACTTAAATAAAATATCTAAGAGATAGTATGACAATACAGTTCAAATAAAAAAAACTCAGATGACAGTGTAATTAATGTTGGCATGACTGGTTGCTTAATATCATTTTTTTCCCACCATAGAAAAACGAGTTAAAATCAGTACAGGTTTTAAGTTCAACTGGAAGAGTATTCCAGTGCTTGATGGCCGTAAACGAAAAATGCTGATCGTCCAAAGGCAGTGCGCCTAAGAGGGATGGTTAGATCTGCATTTGATGCAGATCTGGGGCCTCATGTATAACGCCGTGCGTAGGATTCACGTGGGAAGGTTGCTTACGTAGTAGAAATCCGAAAAATAGGTCCATACATTTTCCGCCACTTCCCGATTCACCAAACATTGCGCACCGGCGAGGAAAGTGCGTACAGCACTTCCTACGCCGGTTTCCCTTTATAAATCACAACCGACTCGAAATGCGGTGCAGCTTTTGCGGGTTTCACGTAACGCCCATATTTGCCTATAAATAGTCAAAGAAACGCCCATTCATTCATACATTCTGACTGACTTTATGAAGAAGATCGCAGGAAATTGATTGATTGATTGATTGATTGAAAAGTTTATTAACAGCTTGTATATTGGGTACAGTACAGTACAGCTCAAAACATACAATTGTTAAGGGGATGCAGACCAGAGAAAGACTTTCGTCTTGTCTACATCAGGGTCCCCCATTTCCAATTCATCATGTCATTTAAGACATATAAGACATATTTGACATACAGATGGCTTATTTACAATTTACATACAGGTGGTTTTTTACATACAGATGGCTTATTTACAATTTTCATTTTAGATTTCGTTCTAATACATCCTAACCGGACATTTAAGACATACCAAGTCTACAGATATACAGTTAGTAACAGAGTCTAAAATGCGAGTATATACATAGATGGGGGGGGGGGGGGGGGGGGGAGCTGTCCATTGAACGACAGGTTGAGATTTGTACCATTACCGGGGCCAGTTTTGCAATGCTCTCCCCCGAAGGTGCTCTTTAAGAGAGGTTTTGAAGGTAAGTATAGTTTTACTTTCCTTTACAGTTGTGGGAAGAGCGTTCCACCTTGATGTGGCATAATTGCGAAACGTGTATTCCCCCTTTTTTGTGCCAAATCTGGGTTTCACATGATTTGTGGAGCTCCCTCTGGTGTTATGATCATGGTATTCCTTGACCTTTGGGAATAATTTTGACATGTACATGGGTACCATAGAGGTGTAGTGGATCTTGTAGACCAGGCCCATTGCAAGTAGCTGTACTCTGTCGTCTACTCTAAGCCATCCTAGGTTGTCAAAGTGGGCAGAGGTGAGGTGGGTTCTAGATGAAAGGTCAAGCAGTAGTCTGACCAGTTTATTTTGCGATGTTTGAAGTTTTATTTTTAGCGCCTTGGAGGTGCTATGGTACCATGACGTGCAAGCATAGTCATAGTACCCTTGAATGAGTAAATTACGACAGAACAGTTAAAAAAGACATCTCACGCCGTGTCAGATGTGGGTTATTTTGGGGAGGTGGAGATAAATCATATTGTTTGGTGGATGCCGTTTGAACCAGAGTAGCAGCATGGAGGTCGGATCGTCACCAAAATAAATAAATAAATGGCCCGAAAAAGGTTAATGACAAAAACAATACACATAGCCTTCCTCAGGCAGTGTGTTTGTACCGGGGACAGGAGACACCCCCTTGATGAGAAACTGTAAGAAGTGATCGGGGAATCCCTCCGGAGTGGAGTCATGACGACTGGATCTGAATTATGTTTTTGTATTTGGTGGTTTGTGTTCCAGCTGTCGATCAGCTGTGCGCAGCGTCTCCACTGCAGCCTGTGCGTCTCAACCCGTCTCTCCCGTTGTTGTGCTTAGTGCGTACGCATGGGTTAGAGTTTGCGTGGAGGACCGCACGTTTTCCCATCAAGTTAGTATTTTATAAATCGCAAACATTGCGTAGAAACTGGCGTACGCCATTTTTTGAGCGTATATCGCTTTATAAATGAGGCCCCTGGAGTTTCTGCAACTCTGTTCACGGCGAAACTGAAAAAAGCCCCTCAACGGTGGTGTTGTAGAATTGTGAATGATTCTGAATACCAATCGAACTCGGGAAAGTAGAACAAGACTATCAAAACTGAAAAGTTTGTATTTGGACAGTATATTGCAATGATGGTGTTTTAATGACTTTCTATCCATAACTTTTAAGGCTTGTTTATAAAGAACCTCAAGTAGTCTCATAGCAGTCTTAGTTGCTTGGGACCAGCAGGTTATACAATAGTGAAAATGTGATAGTATCATGGCATGCAAAAAGGTTTTCGATGCTTCTATGGTTAATGAGTTCCTAATATGTTTAAATTTGAAAATGTTATATTTCAGCTTTCTAGTCATGCTTCTAATATGGCTTTCAAAAGTCAAATTGGCATCCAAGATCACTCCCAAGTATTTGACCTCATTGACGTTTTCAATTATTTTACCATTCACACGAAGCTGTGGATGCGTGGTTGTTTTTTTCTTATTCGTGAAATACATTGTCACTGTTTTGTTAGTGTTTAAAGTAAGACACGAGTAATTTAACCATTGAGCAACTTTGTGCAGCGTCGACGAGAGCTTAGAGTGTAAAGCACCGTGTCGTCAGCATACATCTGGATGTCCACATCCTCACAAACAGATGGGAGATCATTAATATATATGCTGAACAACAGCGGTCCAAGAATTGAGCCTTGTGGCACTCCGATTGAGCATG